TCAGACTAGACATAGCCAGCTCCTGCAACCGTTCTTCATATGTTTTAGCCTCCAGTCCCCTAATCATCTACTCCTGCTTTCATTTTCACGAATAATTTTAAATAATTCATATAGAGTAAAATGTAATATTTTTACTCCTTTTCTGTCAATTCATAGTCACAGTTTGTCTTGTTCAAAATTGTTGTCAGTGTGGCCATTCATACTATAAAGAGATTGTTGTCAAGAATTTGGGTGTATTTAATGAATTGGTTCCACTTTTAAACTGATAGGTTAGGACATTTCCTCCTAATATTCAGTCAGACTTCACTTTCCTGTAACTTAAATTTATTATTTTTGCTCTGTGTCCTAAAACTGTAAAGATGTCATATAAAATTGCTACCAATATGCTGTCAAAGCAACAAAAACAAATTTGAGTCAAAGCAAGAAAAATAAACTCCTTCAGCCAAAGTAGACTTAAGCTGTTGTTTGTTATGATCATATTACTGCAGAAGTGTTACCTTCCCTCTTTTCTTTTCCAAAGGTAATGACAAGAATACCCAGAGAAATAGATCTCTTTGCTCTTAATACACGAAAGCCACTGTAAGTGCAACAAGTTGGTTTTTCAGGGAGTGGCCTTCTTAATTTTTACAGGTCAAGGTCTCGGATGCTTGGGTTTGCAAATATTTCTTCTTTTCTATGAGTAAATAGGAAATCAGACACATCTCAAATAACACAGTGGTGTTATTCTACAATGATAACATGAGTCAAACGATCACTTCTGCAAGGATTTTTAAAAACATCTCTAACAGATGACCATCCAGCCTCTGGTTACAGACCTCACCATTTCATGTAGCAGCCTATTGCACTGGCTGAATCTTTTCTCTTGCATTTTTACCCCATTGGTTCTGGTCCTGCCTTCACCCCTTCTTCTATGTGTCAGCCTTTAGCTCCCTTCAAACATTATTATATTGTTCTCCAGTTCTCTCTTCTGTAGACTAAATGTATCAAGAACCTTTAAGCATTTCTTTTAAGTGCTTGGTTTCCAGATCCTTTACCATCTTGTCATTAGCCTTTCTTAAACTATGGGGTCTGCTCAGGAGTGGAGTGGAACAATTATTTATTTATTGTATGTCACCCATCTCACTATTCAGTGACTCAAGTGGCTTACAATGTGATAAAACCACAATCATGAAAGCGTTACAATTAATTTCCCATGCTTTGAACTTTGCTGCTGTTACTGCAACCCAAGTGGCTCATATTTACTCAGATCTCTGCCATATACGATACTGAAAGCAAGGTAACCTTCATCTTCTATTTACGCATTTCCTTTTTCCTACCCAAATGTAGAACTTTTACCTTTTGTTAAATTCTATCCAATCTGTTTCAGCTCACTGCTGAAGCCTCCTTAAATCTTTCTGAAACTTTCAAGTTGTTCGTTCTTATACTGGGTCTTTTATCAACTTTTCCCTTAAATATGGAGGATGATTTTTTCCTCGATGGATTTAATTTCTTGATACTATGTAAGAGAAACAGACCCTAATCTCTATTTTATTGATCTCTCTATAGTATATAATTTAGATCAGATACCTGCTTAAATTAGCAGAAAAAATAATGATCAGAAACACCTTCTCATCATTATTTCCAAGGCAACATTGGTAAAATTTCAACCAAATTTTAGTTAGTAACATTCCAAAATATATCTTATCATTTAGAACATACTCTGCACAGCATTCTTTCTACCAAATGGCACCTGTTTGCTTAATAAAAACCTGTATGAATACAACCTCAGAGTTCTGCTAGTAAAAAATTTTCTATGTCAAAACACTAGCCAGAGATTATACTGATTGTTCCACATGTATTAATGCTATTAAACTTTAAAAATTTCACTTGTTTTAATGTTGTTTCCCCCCCCCAATTAATTTTTCTTCTAATAGATCCATACAAATTTAGCATTAAATAATCCAGTCAACGATCATGCTCTATATTTGTTCCACTGAGCATATGAAGTTGCTTCCTTTTTCATCATACATTTTTATAGCCAGCTGTAGCTGTCGCTGAGCTGAAAAAAAGTGTCAAGTTAGGACCCTGAACATAATTTTGTGCAGCACTTTCCCAATGCGATAAACTCAAGTTGTACAGTTCCCGGCCAGCCATGGCCAAGACATTTGAAGGTTGTTGTATAACATAATTAAGAATGAAAAGGACCCCAGAACGCCTTTATAGCTTCCTAAATCTGCCTCATTTCATGAAGGGCAGTTACCAGTGGGCTATCATTTAACATAAATTTCTGAATACATTGTTAGATGTAAGTTAAAAAGATGAACGAACTGTTACCAGTGCACAGATTATAATTGGGAGTGGGGGGGAGAGGGGAAAGGAGAAAATTGCACAGTCAGGGGGAACACAAGGAAGTTACATGGTGAATTGGGATAATAATGGTACTCATTTTGCCTTGCATCCTATGGTTCCAAACAATAAACATATTATTGGGGGTAACATATTTTCCAGAAAGCCCAAGATCAGTAAAAAAGCAATAAAACTATAATATACAAACAACTCTTATTGCCAATTAAGATAGAGCAGCAACACTTTCTGCCTGTACAATACTCAAAATGAAATGAACTAACGGCGAGGAACAATTCTTACTAGTCAATTCTTCAGGCCTTGCTGTTAATCCAGACCAGTGATAGAGGTGACACGTTATTTCTGGTGACACGCCAAGCCTCTGCAAGACCTATTGGATGTTGTGCAAGAGGGCCTGCCCTCACGCAGCCTCAGGAGCCTCCAAAAAGAGCACAAGACCAGGGCATTCTTTCCTGCTCTTTTCGGAGCATTCTTTGAGGTTTCCAGGCCTGGAGTTGCCTCGGATAGGCATTTCATAAAATATTTACGATGCAAGTATTTATTAATTCAATAATAAATTACTTTTTTTTCCCTATGAATGGTTTCTCTTTTGTCTGTGTTCCTGTGTATGTGTGCTCATGAGAGAAAGAGGCCATCGAAGTCAGCTTAGGAATTTTCTGCAGTTTTGATAATGCTGAGCTCAAAAGGTTTGTCTTCAACATCCTTGGCCAGGGATCTCCAACCTTAGTGACTTTACAACTTGTGGACTTCAACTCTGGGAGTTGAAGTCCACAAGTTGTAAAGTCACCAAGGTTGGAAATTGCTAGCCTAGACCATTTCAGACAGCTGCATAGGCCAATACATGCTCAGGCACAACATGAGAGCCTGTAGCATTTTTGGATGGATACCAGAACTATGTCGTGTTTCCTGTCTAGGGCGACTATACCAGCAAAGAAAGACCTATCTTTGACCACGTTCCACAGATTCTTTGACGTTTATGCTTGTGGGAAACATGTGGAAAAATCCACTGAAAAACACTACTTATGATTTGAACCTCGTGATTATCAAGATTGGAAGTATAATAAACTTCCGCTAGAAGGATCCCATCAAAAGATCTGCCTTCACTCTGATCTGCCTATGCTGATCTTGGGAGTAGGAGTTACCATGTTTATTTGCATGAGTAGAATTGAAATTGAACGTGCAAAAGAGAAAATGTGCAGACATATTTCCTTCCATAAAAATGGGTGCAATAGCTATTATGGTATTATAAGCAATGAACTCCTGTGACTAAAACATTCTGGATGCTTACAGTATTGCTAATTTCTACAAACTTCCTAGCACTGCTTGGGAATGCAGTATCTGAAGGAACACCTCTTCTGTATAGTTTCACTCAAAGGTTAATCTCATTTAGTTTTGCATGTTGGCACATGAGCACACAGGTAATTCCTTGACTTGCAACCATTCAGAGACCATTCAAAGTCACAACAGCACTGAAAAGAAGAGACTTACAATGCATCCTCAGATTTAACAACTGTTTACAGTGATCTGGTCACGTGATCAAATTTTGGGCACTTGGCAACTGTTGTGTATTTATGACAGATGCAGCATCCCAGGGACATATGATCACCATTTCTGACTTTTCCAGATGGCTTTTGTCAAGCAAAATCAATGGGGGAAACTGGATTTGTTAACAACATGATTCCCTTAACAACTGTAGTGACCCTCTTAATAACCATGGCAAAAACATCATAAAATCAGGCACAACTTGCTTAACAACTACCTTGTTTACCCACAGAAATTTCTGGTCAATCGCGGACTACCTGTAGTTGCACACTACCCTTGAAAGATAATCTCCTTTGGAGACAATTCTGTCAGGAATCGTTTCTCTTATTTTTTTCAGAGCTGGGGAAAGAATCTAATTCTCTTAGCCCTTCTTGAAAAATAGCCCTTTTTTGGCAATTGGATCTCTTCTAGTTTCTAGCTTTTAGATCTCTGACACCTTGTCACTGTTTTGATTATTATTACATTTAATAATGTTGTTTTTATTGCATAGCTATTATTAATTTTATAAGTTAATAGAAATAAATCTAAAATGCTAAGTCTAACTCAGGAAAGCTGAAGTATAAGCTAACTCAATCTAACTATGATCATTTTTAGTTTTATTCAAGCATACACATATACCTTGAGTGCAGCAACTTTCGTAGACACAGTGAAAATTAGCAATCTCAGCTTCTTCTGTAGTCTTTTTTATAAATAATGATGGAAAAAAATAATATTTTTGTTTGTTGCATTATCTGAATACTAGATGAACTCCAGGGTAAGCAGAAAAACATAACCTTCACCATCGTTGTCTGAAATGGCTGGGATTTCATGAAGAAATAAGAACATTATTCAAGAACACCCATCACAGTGCTTAACAAGATTTAATGTACATTTATTCTTAACATGTGGAACATATAAATTTTATACTGAATAAATGATATTCATTAAGCCAGAGGAAAAGGAGGAATTTACATCAAGTTTTTTTGTATTTTTTAAACTACATTATTTTGAAATACAAATGTGTATTCTTTGCACTGAAAAATCTTTGAAGTTGTGTTTTCTTTCCCGCCCCCCCATATATGTATTTTTTTCTGTAGACTGGTAACCATTTTCTTCAATCAATCCGTACGTAACCATTTCCACATCTTGATTTATAAAGTAAGTTGTGAGCAATTGCTCTCCCGAAATAGAGCATGACTTTATACATACAGAAACTTGTACATTACCCTCGTGGTGTTTTTTTCTTAGTTTTTGGAGTTATGGCCCAAAGAAAATAATAATAATATAATAATATAATAACAATAATAATAATAATAAAATTAAGTCTACCATCACTTTGTAGTTACCACATCATGAAAAAAATAAATCCTTGTACTTGTTTTATTTATTTTTTAAAAAGATGAGGGTATGTTTAATGTACAACTTCTATATACAACACTGCCTTTAGGCAATAAAAATATTTTAAAAAAATGATTTAAAGAAATTGTAATGAACTGTCATTGTGGAAGGTCAAACAATAGATATTGATGTTGACAGTTCTGGTGAGGAAGCAATTTGTGTTGATCGTCTTCAGAGTTGTTTTTACTTTCTTAAAGAATTGGTTTTGCTCCTAGCATAGTGTAACTTCTCCTGCAAAGAACCCAAGAAAATGTGGGCAGATGAGGAACTGACACCCTTTTCCTTTGCCATCCACCACACCTATATCACTATAATTCTTCTATTGCACACAGCACTTTGGGCAATGGCAGTAAGGATGGTTGGAATTTCCTTTGTTCTTAAAAAATAAAAAGCACATTAGCTCAGCATTTTTTCCCCTCCACTTTTGCATTTGAGAGTGGCATGCCCCTTTCTCCCAACATCAAATCGTATTTTTCTATATCTTGACACCTCCCCAAAATTCAAGGTTGCTTCCCCTCCCCGAAAAATATGATTCAAACATGGGAAAAACAAACAAACATGAGCAAGGATAGCTATGAAAAAAGAAATGTGATCTTTGAATGTACTAGAGAGAGACTTTGGTTAAAAAAATAAAATAAAAAGATGTACTTATACACATAGACAGCAAATATTAATTCCATAACTGTTCAAATTAATGTTTTGAAATTCCCAATTGGTAAATAGTGAATGGGGCAGAGGAGCAAAGATTCTTCTACTTTTTCTTCTTCTTTTTTCCCCATTCTTCCTACACTGGATAAACAGGTACAGAAACCAGCCAGTTATATGTGACCCTTTAATCTCCACTCACACATGCTTGCTTCTCACTTGTGTCATAACTGCCCTATCTGAAAGAGTACATCACAGATGACAGATGCAACCATAGAGTTCAGGACAGCTGATATTGAGATATCCAGCAAGCGGCCCTCATGTAAAAGGAATTCGGAGCGGTTTTCCTCCACCCGGGCCATGGCCAACAAGGCCTTGGCTGCCCTGCACATCATGTCCACACTAGGTGGCTCCAGAGGCGGAGGCTGCATGTGCATAAGGTTATGCTGGCTCTGCTGGTACTGGGCCATCGTGACCCCATCCTCAAGGAAGCTTATCAAGTTTCCAATGCTTCCCTTCTGCACAGCTATTGCCCTTGACGCTAACGTGTCCCCTCGGGCAAGGTTTGATAAGAGCGCCATTGACATTTCTCGGCAGACAGGATTTTTGCGTTCCCCAACGTACCTAACTAAAGTAGCATACAGTTTCTCCTGACGACTGAATGGGGGCGTGGCCAATATGAGGTCCACGTTATTGTCTTGGATACTGAGTTTACACAGGGTTTCCAGTACAAGTCTCTGAGGCGAAAGGATTGAGTTGGGCCCCACAGTTGGAAAAGGATCTTGTGCCTCTGCCGATGGGCACACCATCCAGTGCAGTAAGCCATCCAAAATTGGCAAACAGATGCTTTCTGTATAAGCAGATAAGTCTAGCTGCCCAGAAATGTTGGCTAGTGTGACCAATGTATTATCCCTCAAGACCTCAAGGCAGTCCCACCACCACTCATCCTTGCTGCAGGCCACCCCTTTGTCCACTTCTTCCTCTTTTTCATATGTCTGTGGTGTACGCTTTCTTTCTGGGTGTTCATGATGAAGAAGAATCAACTTTCCCAAGATTAGCACCAAGCCTGGATGTTTAGACATTTCCACATCATTGCCAGGCACAAAAGATAAGCTGCGGACAATATTTGAAACACAGATGCAACGTTTGGCCAAAGAATCTTGCCAGTGGGTAATGGTACATAGAGGAGTCTCATCTCGACTCCGTGGCTCATCTTCCAGCAGTTTGATATTTCGATGACTTTTCACTTGATGGATCCCAAATGGAAATTTATTACTATCTGTCTGAGAATTGGAGTCGGGGTCTTCAGACAATGCTCCCGGACGAGCTGACAAGACATCATCAATAGTGGCCGATATGCTTTTGTCTTGCTGTTCCTCAGATTCTCCTTTCCCCTCTACGTTCTTCTTTTTACCTGAGGAGACTGATAGAGATGGCCGCCTGCAAGCAGGAATCTCCATCTTACTCTCAAAATGGGTATGAATGTGTTCAGTTGTATCACCCCCACCAAGTTGCCAATGAAGAAGCCCACTGTTGAATTCCTGAACATGCCCCAGCCGATCAGATCGGTCGACAACAAATAAGTTGTTTTTCTTTACAATTTTTATTGGCAACTTGTCAAACTTACTGGCTTGTTTTGGCTTCTCACTTGGATCAAGAATGGCATCAGGTGGAGCTACAAGAGTGTTCTTTCCTTCTTCTGTGTTCTCAGTTTCATCTTCTTCCTCTTCGTCCTCCTCATCTTCCAGGTCATCAAAGTAATCTATACATTCATCATTGTTTTCTTCCTCTTTCCTGACATCCTCCGTTGCAGACTGCCCATCCTCATTCGGAAATGAATTATGATCTTGCAGTTTTGGTCCTGGATATCCCACTTCATATTCCATAAGGATCCCAAAAATATCAATCAGGCATTTTCTAAAATATTCCACCAACAGCTCAAGAAAACCAGATAACTGAGGAAACAAAGAGAGGAAAAACAGAAAAAAAATGGTAAAAGGAACATTTTAGATCATTATAGAATTATGTAAACAAGAACGGATTTGTTTTAGAAAAAAAAAGATCTTTAGATTCCCTTTTAGAAGATTCAGAATTGGTTAGTCCTCTCTTCCTATTTACACATAAAAAAAATACTTTTAATACAGGTGTTCAGTAAATACTTTTAATACAAGTGACCGGTAATAAAAAAGTGAACAATTATGAATTCCTTAAAATTTACTTTTGAGTAGTATTTAGTCCATGTGATTGTAAAAGCGAATTGAGTCTTCTTTTCAAAGAAAATGTTCTTTCTTTTCAAAGCATATGAACCATTACATATGATCCTGAGTTATAATTATGAATATAATGACTTGTGGTGGTGCAGTGGTTAGAATGCAGTATTGCAGGCTAATTCTGCTCACTGCCAAGAGTTCGATTCCTTCAAACCTGGCTCAGCCTTTCATCCTTCTGAGGTTGGTAAAATGAGAACCCAGATTGTTGGGGGCAATATGCTGATTCTGTAAACCACTTAGAAGGCTATAAAGCACTGTGAAACAGTATATAAATCTAAGTGCTACTTCTATAATTGTATAATTATACAATTGTATAATTATACAATTATTTGTATACTTCTTTGTCTTACCTTATTTTACTTTAGCAGTCAGAACAAGAAGACTCATAGCTTTTACATTCACAGATTGGTGTAATACAAGTTGAGTCGAGCAAAAAACCAGTCCCGTGCCATGACAATGTTCACCCTTACCTCCCCATTACATTACAGGAGAACAGGAAAATATGTGTGTTGTTGAGCCACTATCTATAAACTGTGTGTCTTCTGTGGTATTCTGAGGACTTGCCCTACTCCTAAGGGGAACTGGATGGCTCAGGCATTGGAAAGCATAGCAGCAAAGAATGTGGGCTTCCCCCTCCATTTACAGAATGAATGGTGACACTGAGGTGAAAAATAACCAACCTACCTGTGAGAGATTGAACGTAGCAACCGTACTATCATCGTACAAAAGAATGTTAATAGTGTCTAATGCCCAAGTACTTTCTGCAAGAAGACCTGATTTAAGAGACATCATCACTCGCCAGGCTTCCGGACTCACTGAAAACAAAGAAAGCAAGAAAGCTTTATTAAGAAGAAATCTGCAGCAGCATCTGAAACCTGAAAATGGAGACAATTTCTTTCTTTTTTTTTTTAAGAGCAGAGTGCTATACTTGCACAAGTTCCAAAGTATTTCCAAATGATTTTTGATGCCCTATAATATAATCGTATGAAAAGAGCTAGACTGTTGTGAAACAGAAGGGATGACCTTCTCTAAAACCTAGGAAATTGACAGAGACAGTAAGGATTTATCTCAGTTAATTTGGAAATACATATGTACATGTGTCACACATGCTTTGTGGTACACTGTGGAAACTTTGTATATTCTGATGATGTGCTCTGCTTTAATTCTGTAAAACTCAGTTAATGTCCATATCTTTAGAGTAGGAAAGTGTAGAGCAGTGGTGGGGTTCAATTTTTTTAAACTACTGGTTCTGTGGGTGTGGCTTGGTGGGTGTGGCAGGGGAAGGATACTGCAAAATCTCCAGTCAAGAGATGGTATTTGCCTGTTCTGAACTACTCAAAATTTCCACTACTGGTTCTCCAGAACTGGTGAGAACCTGCTGAATACCACCTCTGCTGTAGAGAAAAAGCAGTTTTATAATACCAGTAGAAGAGGTTGAGACAGGAGAAATATCACTACTGCTGTCTATTTATTAGCTTCTTCCTCTTCAGAAAAATAAAAATTATGTTTGCTTCAACACTCTTACAATGCTCACTTAAAGCATACATTTATAAAGAACCAAAATAATTTTTGTTCTTAAAAAAACTGCTACCCTTTTTCTCCAACAATACGGCCTCCCCCAATAGGAAGTCCCAGCATGTTTTATAGGCATGAAATGAAATTAAGCCCCTCCCCCCAAATTAAGGCCTATATTAAAACATGCAAAATGGGGGGGAATGGCGGGGGGGGGCTTGCCGTTAGGAAGTACTTTTGTTGCACACCTGGATATGGTGCTGCCTGCGTTGACCCCGATACGAAGTGCCCCACCAACGCAGAGGTCAACATCCAAGCCGTCACCGCCCACCCGAAGATGCAAGGGGGGGGGGGGAATTAAGTCACCCCCGAAAAGACGGCCTAGCCATTTTTTCGGGGCTCAAAAAAAAAAAGACCCGGCCTTATTATATGAGAAACACAGTAGGAAGCCAATTCTTCTGAAGTTTCCTTTTAGGAAAGGAAAGCTAGCAATCGAAGGATAGTATTTACAGCTTGTGTGATATCCAAACATATCTATATATCTCTGTAACATGCAACAAGATACTATCCATTCAGAAAATGGGGCATATATCAGTGCAATAAGACTATCTTTGCTTTCTTTCAAGAAAGAAGATGACTGATCAGCATGTCCAGAACTTGTCAATATCATATCTCATAGATCAATTTTCCAAGTAACAGTGCTGCTCCAAGACAAGCTTACATACATTTTAACTGTTTCTTTTTGTTAAGTTACTACTCCATTAACAACTTTACTCCTTGAAAGAGAGCTTTCAAGTTAAAATTTCAAATGCTTATTGTTTAAGAGTTACTAGATATAAGATGCACTGTATGTGAATTCAGACTTTTGTTCTGAGATCATAAGCAATCATTAATTATAAACAATATAAAATACTATGAAAGTGCACAATAAGAACAATATCAACTTAAAATAATACAATATTGTACCTCTTGTAACCATTATACTTCCCTAAATATTCAGTATTTATTTGTATTTTATTGATGATACATAAATCATTATTACTACTACAAAACAAATTTGAGCTCAGCTTCAATTTAATAAAACTAATTTCTTAAGTGAATTAATACAAATAAATGCAAGCTCTACAAAATTATTGTAAAAAGTGTCTTCCTCTGTAAGGACAATAGGAAGACTTACCAATATCTTTTGAGGTAATCTTTCGCCTTGGTTTTAAAATTGGTTGGGATGCTTCCACCGAACCTGGAGGAAAAGTGACTTCCCGCCTAATAGATGATGGTGGCTGCATTGGAGGACCTGTGACCTGCGAGACTGGAAGAGTAGGCATAACTTTTGGCATCTTCATAGAGGATAGGAATGGAGATTTACTGGGAGACATACGATTTTCATGAGAGCGTGGGAAAGATGCAGGGCTAGGAGCTCGAGATATGTGGTTTGGCATTGATGGTGGCGTCTGATAGGATGACTGAGGAGGTCGAGTAATAGGCTGCATGGAAGCAGAGGATGACATGTAAGAAGGCTGTCGCTGGTTGACATGAGAAGGCCACTGGCTTTCATGGTTTATTCTCTGGTCAGGTACCATCATATCATCAGTACGATTCATCCCTGGATAAGGTGGGGCCTGTGCAGGGCCCCCAGGGCCTTGCCTGTTCTGATATGGGTAAGACATATCATTTCTTGTGGGCCACATGTTTTGTTGGGGGCTTTCACTGGAAGCTGATGTCTGCATAGGGCCACCAATCATCTGCGGAGGTATTCCATGTTGTGGCATTTGTCCAGGACCCTGCATCCTTTCTCTGTTATAAGGATATGGATACTGTCCCTGGATGGGTCTCCTGTCTGGTCCAGAGTAAGCACTGCTATACTGGTTAAATATCTCCTGCTGTTGGTTGCTGTACTGCATGTTAAACATATCTCCATCATGACGTTTTGCTGGAGGCCCATACATGCCATCCATATGCCGTTTGTAGTTCTGAAAAAATGGACACCAAATATTTAAAATAGCATAAAATATTATTTTTTATATATTCTTATACATTAGTGTGGTAGAATAGTGTGGTAGAATATACTCACAATATTTTCAATGCAAATAATCAACTTTATCTTCATTAGTGTTTGAAAGATGTACAATGACCTTTTAATTATTTGAATAAATATGCATAAGGTAGTTGAAATTTTGTCCATATGTAGTGCATAACATTTTAAATGAATAATGATTTTAGTATCAAGACTATATGATTAATGACTGTAGGCATAACATGAGATATTAGTTTTCTTTTAGGAATTGTTTTGAAGTAAATGCATTATAATTAAGTGTCTTAATATTTCTTTTCCAATATTAAGTTCTGGAAGAGGGATCAGGAAGTTTGATAAAAAGGTATTTATTAGTTAAGACGTTTTTAGACTTTAGAATTTTATTTAATGATATTTGCTTGAGGTTTTATATGGGGATGTGTTAGTGGATTGATTTACATGTTTTGAAAGTGACAGACATATAGATGGAATATCTGAGCTTTCACACACACACACACACACACACACACACACACACACACACACACTTTCCTTGTGATGATCCTTATGTGGTCAAATGTTGCCAATAATATTATTTATTTATTTAGAAACATACACAACAGTACAAACCCCCCAATTAATATACAAGAAAATGCCAAAACAAACTATAATAAAACTAAAATCAGGGGAACATATAATATGTAATAACAAGTAAAAAGAAATAATGGGAAGAAATGAACACTCTAAGTATATCATTTGTATAGTATACCAAACATTAAACAGTATATGAACAGTTCACATTGGAAAGAAGAAAAAACTATATTGTAAATGATGCTTGTTAGCTAAATGAAGCCCCGAAGAAGTAAAATCCTCATTACAATTTTTTGTAGGTTCCACTTATTTTTAATTGCCAATAGTTTGCTTTGAAGTATTATTAGCTATGAATCAAACCAACCAATAAATAAATTTGGAATGCTGTGGAAGAAAGGCTACCTCAACACTAATTGCTCTGTCCTATTATGGAGGACAGGTGACGGCAATTTCTGCAGATTCACCTAACTATGCTCCCTTTTCCCTAGTTGAAATATCCTTATACGTTTTAAATAAGAAGGCAGAATTATCTTCCTTTCTGCTTTTATACAACAGTGAAACAGTCTGTTTATGAAGGCTATGGGTTCCCCATGTCTAGAGATTTTTAAAGATGCTGGTCACTCATTTCTTATGAGTGATTTAACTCTTTTTCCTGCACCCTGCAGAGAATTTGACTAGCTAATCCTTGTAGTTCCTTCCAATTATACAATTCTATGATCCTACAATTTTTCCCCCATTAAAAATTTACTGCTACAACAATTTAGCCATTGTATATAGATCTATTTGGGATACATCTTGTTAATTATCTATGCTTTCTTATTAATTTTTCAGTCAATAAAACAGAATAGTTTTAGTGAATGTTCTGTATCATTCATAACATTAGCCAATTGTTGTTAAGAAACATTCCATATAAAAAGATACAAATATAAAATTCTCCAAAGTAGCAAATATCGTTGTCCATTGTTTACTTTTTTTGCCAGTAACAAGTGCTTAGATCTTTAGAGTGACTTTTGCAAAAGGAATACTATAAAACTATTTACTTGCTGCTGTGGAAACATTCCTGATTGGTGTGTTCCATAGGGGGGTTGTCCAGAAGGAGGAGCTTGCATTGGATACTGTGGTCCATATGGTTCATGCCTGCAATGAAAATATGAGCTGTACATTAGTGCTTATGATTTCAAAAATGCCTCAAAATATTGAAACTTATCCCATTAAAACAGTTTCTATCCTTCATGAAGCCTGAAAATCGGCAACAGCATCCTCTTTTTTCATATCAAATTGTTCTCCACCAAATGCAGTACAAGGTTTTAAAAATGAAGTGGTTTTAATTTTCGATTACGTACACTCAATTCCACTCAGTCTTATTCAATACAAATGTAGCAGAGTAAATCAGTGATCACTCTCTTAGAAACATTATCTACTCTTTTATAAGGTAATAATATACCAATATTGGGGGGAAAAAGTGTTGTCAAACAACAATGTGGCCTGGATGCAGACATGTTTCACCTTTCTTCGGATGACTTAGCAGTTTATGATTCCATATTCTTCAATCTCACTTGACAATGTCTGAATGAGCTTTAATACAAAAGCATCTGACTAACGTACTGTAACTGAGAAGAAACGCAACTGACTGGCTGAAGCAGATTCCATACTTGATATTCAGAATGTTGGCAACAATATATGATTACCTGCTATTGCCAGAGTGTTGTAGTTTCAAAATGATTTATGTATAAATGAGTAATGCATGACCTAATAGCCATTCTAATATTAGATTTTTTTTAAAAAAAGATTACAAATCTGAAATAAGATAGTAAGAAAATAAGTAAGTAAGATAGTTGAACTGGAATACAAAGAAATAATGAAATGTAAAACAACAGTAACAATACTAAGATTACAAACATATCTAATAAAATCAGCTAATAATCACTCTTTTAAATGATTTAAATGAGCTTATTATCTATTGGGCTCCAAACATAGGAGCTTTAGGTGCAGCCTCAAACTTACCTGGAATTGGAGAAAAGCACCATCTAAATACATTTTCAGCAAAAGTGAGTATAGTCAAGGCTATGGTTTTCCCAGTTGCAATGTATGGCTGTGAAAGTTGGACCATAAGAAAGGCTGAGCGCCAAAGAATTGAGGCCTTTGAAGTATGGTGCTGGAGAAGACTCCTGTGAGGCCTTGGACTGCAAGGCGATCAAACTGGTCAGTCCTAGAGGAGATCAACCCTGACTGCTCTTTAGAAGGCCACATCCTAAAGATGAGACTCAAATACTTTGGCCACCTAATGAGAAGGAAGGACTCACTGGAGAAGAGCCTAATGCTGAGAAAGATTGAGGGCAAAAGAAGAAGGGGACAACAGAGAATGAGGTGGCTGGAGTCACTGAAGCAATCAGCGTGAGCTTAAATGGACTCTGGGGGGTGGGAGAGGACAGGAAGGCCTGGAGGAACGTTGTCCATGGGGTCGCGATGGGTCGGACACGACTTCGCAACTAACAACAACAACAAATATATATTTTATCCAAATAGACAAAACGTTTACATTTGTTCTTACAATGTGACATCTAAATGCAGTTATCAAATTCTCCCACATCAGATTGAATGGTTTTCAGCAAATAAACCTTCAGCACTGATTGTAAGCACCATGAGCTCAACCAGGATATCAGTGGGCTAGCTAATATTATGGTAACAGCACGAATATCATGATCAGAAGTGACACAATATAGCAGAAAAGTACAGAAAATGGAGCAAGGGAGAATGGGAAAGTTTTGGTTGGACACAGCAGTCTGTGTGCTACTCCTGAGACAAATGCCTAAAAGATAAGGCATTTACCATGGGAGAAAAGAGGGCGAATTTCCCAATTTCCCAAGCAATGCAGTTTCCTGGATTATTGCATTGTTACATTAAATACACATTTGGTTGATTTATACTACCTCTATAAAAATCTATATTGCCCCAGTGGTCTAAAGTGGAGAAATCTGCTACAAGTGAAAATAATTGAAATTCAAGAACTTCAGTGATCTACTTTGTCACTAAAAATATATGCAACTTAAATTGTGTTAGTTAAATTAGGTTAGAGATAAGTCATGTTATAACTGTATAGCGATATGTGAAACTGATCTACTTTAAGGTTTGAGAGAAAGAGCAGCAGCCTGTATTTCAAGCACATGTTCAATTAATTTATCTATGAAATGACATCAACAAAGAAACATTTGAGAACCTCACTGTTTTACAAATGAATGTAAAAAGGCTGAGAAAAGGATTCTGTGGTGAATGGTTTTATAATATGTAAAAATGCTGTAATCGCAAGTTCTCTACATGTTCCAAATGAATCCATCTCTAGAATCCAAACTTAAGAAAAGCCGAAGTAAAGCATAAAACAATCTACCAACCATGCAGCCATGCAACCATCATTATTCTCCAAAGCTTATGCCAAAAAATGTCTTGCAGAAAATCTGCATGAAATGCAATACAGCAATCCAGTGTAGCAAATTGCACCTCCTATCCAGTAGTCTTTAAGATTATCTGTCAACACAGGTATTTTAAACAGATTAAATTATTCACCTTTGTTGCCCAGGATAACAGTTAGGAGAGTATATGCTTGGGTCACTGTTTGAAGGCACCATGTTGCTTTGACCAGATGCTCCCATACTGCCTTCAGGACCCAGCCCATGATGCAACCTAAAAATGACAAAGGAAACTTCACACTGTAAAAAGAACTTATTCTCCAAGTCTGGTGAATTAAAATGAAATTTTAAAAAAACGTATGGAATAGCCAATTTCAATACCAACATTTTCTCTGAGACTGAAAATGTTTTATAGGCCACTGCAGACTTTTTGATGAATAAAATTTTAGAGGCTAGCTCATGCAGCTTGTTTGTAAATTTTGCCTGATGTATAAAGAACTAGGCAATTGCAAGTTTTATATCTATTCAAGAAGCTTACTTAGGATTCAGTCTTCTTCCTGAATTCTGAATGTTATGAACTTTACTCTTTATGATATTGGCAATCGACCATGGGTATCTCCCTCAATATCATTGCTCTTACTCTTTATAGTCATTCTCTTTCTAAAATATTGTGATTATTTTTCAAAAAAAATAAAAACATTAATGCATCATAATTCTTAGAGGCTGCATTTATATGATGAATTAAACCATTTTGAATCTGATTAATTTTATCAATTTTTGATTTAAAAATCCAATGGCATTTCTAATATTCTGATCAGTGATGGAGACTGATTTGAATTCATACTATTTTTCTTTTTAGTAAAAAAACAATGACATAAAACATTCTCTATTGCTTTAGCAAAGTTAATTGCTTAATATATAGTCTTTTTCTTTCTGTCAATTTTCTTAGTACCATTTTTCAAAAGTTATCCATAAAGAAGAACATACTTCAACAAACGAGCCAAAATTACAACGTATTGCTGCTTTTCTGGCAGACAAGATAACGCTAATCCAGAAAGTTCCCATTGCCAGGTTGCAGAGAAAAAACACATTCTGCATGGATTGTTTTTTTCCAGAATACTGGAACATGACAAGATGTTTACCTTTACTGGCATAGCGCAAATTTTTAGGTTGCAGGTTGAATGTTACTGTAAATGGTCTTATTTTGAAGACAACAACCACAAAAAGATTTTGCTATTTTGTGCATTTCATTGTGCTTCTGCAGCCATTGTTCACCACCCCTCCTCTTTTTTTGAGGGGGACATTTTGCTTTTCCAAAAAAGGATCTCCCCTCTACTGAATTCCATCCAATTAGCAACTCCTCTCTTTTCTTCTCTTTAGCTATGGTCTTATAACAAGGGTGTGTGTGGTGGCCTAGTAGTTAAGACATAGGGTTTGTCAACCGAAAGGTTGGCAGTTTGAGACCCAACTACATGGTTCAAAAGCATGCAAGTAGACAAATCAGCATCACTCCAGTGTGAAGGTAACAGTGTCTTTGAAATAATACTACCAGACAGCATTAAATGGTGCTATGAATATGTGTTGTCATAGGTTATTATTTTTATTATTTATATTTATTTTATATTGTGCTTTTATGTTCTGTAAGCTACCTTGAGTCTCCATGTGTGAGTAGGTGGCAATATACATTTTCTAAATAAATAAATAAATAAAAACACTGGCTCCCTCAGCTAGGCAACAGAAAGGAGCTCTGCCTCCCCTAGTGTCGGGCACAACTGGGCAGAGAAATCTTGATCTTTTTTATGATCTTACGATGCTAGCACAGAACTTATCTTTGAATTGGCTTATCTTTGAATTGGGGGTGGAAGAGGATGGAAAGGAATATATCTCTGTTACCTATCAGAGGTATCCAGTTTTCTACATTGGTGAGCATATTGCTTGCCTGCATACCAGAGGATATTGACTCCAACCTCTTGTCAGTTATATGTGCTGGGTCACAATGTGAATGAGGATATGCATCCAAACAGAAGTATTGTTGACTTTAATGAGGCTGGGATATATTAAATGACAATCCTGGAAATGAGAATCTATTTTTTTACGTAGATTTTTGTAATGTACTCCTCTACAACAGATAGCACAAAACCATCAGAAAAAGGTGCAATTTCCCAGAGGCTGGTTCATTAAGCATACACACACACACACACACACACACAGAGAGAGAGAGAGAGAGAGAGAGAGGGAGGGAGAGGGAGAATAGTAATGCTGAAATCTGATTAAGCAAAAGAATATCAAATAGAGCTCTCTAGAGACAAGGTTCTCCTTATTCAGCACACACTCACTTATTAGTTCTTACACAAAATAGATTCAGTCTCTTATTAGTGGTTTTGCTCTCGCTGATTTTCTGAAGAGCATTAAATGGTCAGCCAAATGGTCTGTTAGAAGGACAGTGACAATGCAGAATCTTTTCACCATTTTTCTCTGTGTTTTGAAGCTGATGAAGTCTCACCTCCGGTCATAACCACTTCCATAGGGAAACTGTTGCCGTTGGCCTATGCCCATGTTGGACATGGTTGCAGCGGGACTCTGGCTGTACATATCCTGCATGCCACTGTTGGGCATTTGTCCAGGGGCCATGAAGGGTTCACTATTTCCAGGCACTATAAAAGAAAGAAAGAAAAGAAAAGAAAAGAAAAGAAAAGAAAAGAAAAGAAAAGAAAAGAAAGAAAGAAAGAAAGAAAGAAAGAAAGAAAGAAAGAAAGAAAGAAAGAAAGAAAGAAAGAAGGAAAACATATGGCTTTATGTTATTTGAAAGATATATTATTAAGAATTATTAAATATCATTGATGTTCAGAGAACTGAAACAGGGTAATTCAACAAACACTATCAGAACTGAGGAGATAACTTACTTCAGCAGCAGTGCCATTATAATGCCATTGTGTATTTTATAATTTTAAACCCAAATAAAAATCTCAGGCAATTTTTGTGTTTTCTGCTTTTTTTTCTCAAGAAAGGAGTCTACTACTAACTTACAAATCTCCACTGGATCAATATATTAGCATTATTATCACAGCTATTTTTGTTCTCTAAGTTCAACCTACACAAAGGAAGATGTCTAAATATCTACTGGCTACCATATAATGGATAGTTTCTAAAACATCAATTTATCCATAAGTAAGTTTTTTTCTCCCTTCTGGAGGTGACATAAAACACAAATCTCTTCAGTTTTTGATGTTGGCTTTGGAATACTGCATCCAGAAAAAATGTAAGTGACCCGGGTTGGTAAACCTGGGCACTAAATATAAATGTTTTTGCTAAGTTCTTTACATTTGCTCACTTTAAATTTCTGCTTTAACGCTGAAAACACTGTTCTTATTTTATTGATTTACGTGTTTTATTGCTCTATTATTTATTCCTGCTTTCAGATTTCTAACTGGAAGTCACTTTGGAAATCTCCTTGGGATGTAAGAGTAATAAATGATTTCAGTAATAAATGATTTCAGAGATACAGAATATTGTCTAGTATAAATCATGACTCAGTCATTATCTCATCTTGAAGTATACTACAAGGTTCTTATGAATGTAAAATAGCTGTTGTAGCTGTATATATAGAAACCTACCTACATATTGTACATACATAAATAGAATCTAGCCATGAAAGGCACTCTAGAGAGACATTTTTGTTCAGGTTTTCTGAAATAATTTAATCCTGTTGTACAGTCAGAATTTTGCTTAAAGTACAGCATTGCTCCACAAATTCTGCTAAAGATTCAGTATGACTTCTTTGTATTTTTATGTATCTTTACATATGACTTTTAAAGAGATTTGAATCTCATTAGCAGAAGTCATGATATAAATGATTAATTTTACTCAAATCCCTACACATTTTAGACACTGCTGAGACATTTATCCAGATCTAAAAATCTAGCAGTTGGAGAGGGTTTCCATAATGTGAAACTGTTGCAAGAGATTCTTACTTTCCTGTCAAAAACCTTCTTCCCAAGAATGTTATAGGGCACAGACACATTTTTAAACCATTACATAAATTCCTTTATAGCATGCCGACTTACTCCTGTAAATTTCCTGTAGCAGTCCTATCTCATCTAAATGAAGTATGACAATGACAACTGGTGATTACATTAAGATTTAGATTAAAATAATATACGTTATATCATATTATTAAAGACATACAGTGATATGACATATATTATATATATAATATAACTGGCTCGTATATTACATAATCTGAGTTTACCAAATCCTGTTACTTACAGAAAAATACTAGGCCTAAGTTGAAACTATTGGTATAATTCTAACAATATAATTATAAAAACTCTTCCATATAATTTTCTGTATCATAAAAGAAACTTCTTACTCTTATTGGCAAAAATCCACTGCACTTATCTGTTAACTTCCAAAACAATAGTATAGTTACTTATGAAAGACAGAGAAAAACAAACTATCAAAAATATTTTTTTTATTCCTCAGTAATACAAAGATGGAGAAACCCATCTAGGAACTGATGTACACAAACATACATACAGTCAACTCCCCGGACAAATGATGTCAGCAGTTACCTTTTCTCATCCCACCAAAAGGATCCTTGTTTGGCTCATAGGGCATCCTTCCCATCATATCTGGCATATTCATTGATTGCTGATAGGGTGCATTTGGAGTCATGGAGTTCCGCTTTGCGTATGTGGAATCACTTATATCCGAAAAGGGATCATGTACACTGACTGAACTATTTCTAAAGAGATAGAACATAAGAAGGTATTTGAGTTATAGAGACACAATTATAGATGAACAATGCCTGATCAGGTGGTGATCCATAGAGTTCAGAAAGTTAAACTGTTGTGAAAATCACCACTGTTGCCTTAACAGTATAGGATATATGAGATATTCAAAATATACAGAACAAGTGTTCAAGTACTTCATTCTCTACCTGAGCCAAGAAGTTCAGAGTGGAATATGAGAACACCTATTTGTCCAAGGCCCATAAAATAAACTTCATAGCAGAGCTGGGATTTGAACAAAAAATTCTGAAATTCAATCCAGCAGTCTAACCATCCCAACACAGTGCCCCCTTTCCATCATTTGTATGCATCACAGGTCAATTCTTGGTTTCAGAACTTCTTAATTTGTATCAAGAATATTATGCCTTTTGAAAAGGCACTGTATAGTTAATTTATTCATTTTAATTGCACCAATATTAAATGTATGGATATAAACAGATAACCTCTCAAATTTAGTTGAAAGATCACTGATCATATCCAACCTCTGATCCTTGAATATTCCCCAAATTTTATCTCTGAAGAAATGCCCATTTGTATGTATGAATATTGAAATAACACGCATGGACAACAATGGGCAACTTTAAAATCAATGAGTAGGGTTGTACATGGATGTGCCTGTGTGTTGGTCGGTAAACAATTGAAATTGTGCACAAATAATTATTTCTGAGAGGGGCTGACATGTTTTTTTTTTCTTGAAGCCAGATGCTGCAGGAAATAATGGAGAAGTCCTTTTAGGGAAAAATAGAAGTTTGTTCTATTTACCAATTAGTTCTCTACAATAGGATTAAGCCATGATAATGGTTTACTTGGAATTGCTCGCTAATTTTCTCCATTTTTTCTTGTTGTTTATGCATGCATCTGGACACAGTTGCACACATTATCTATATATACACACAAAGAGTTCTACAGTGAAACAGCAGAAGCTTCATCCTGCAAACTCATATTAAATTACTCATAAAGCAAAGCTTTTTTTTACAGTTTTAGTTGTGCCATCAATGCAGCTCTAACCAAAGACTGAAGAGTTTGGGTCTGTGTGTGTATTGAGGAAATTGAAATTAAAAGCAACTCTTTCACACATCAGTTTGAACCTCTGCATTTTCAGATCCCATACCTCTCCTTTTTTCATTCCTGGTCAGGGGCAGGGGTGAGATTGACAATATGGTGGCAAAGAAAGATGGGGTAACTGCCACTCACCATCAATGATGTCATGGGCAGCATCCAAGAAATGCCCGTGACACTCATTTTCCAGATACCAATAATATTTCCCACAACATGTTGCATTTTGAGTCACAGGAAAATGCAACATCCCTGAAAGAGAGAGAAGGTGTCTGGATTTGGGGCAGTGACTGCACTTGCCAAAGCACAGATCCAATATCCTGAAAGGCTCTAAGAAAAGTACCTGCTGCTCTGAGTGGGTGTCATCTGTCCATGAGGTGTGGACGCTGGTGTTGGAGGCTTGAGGTCACTTGGCACTTCTGTCATAGAATTGCTCCCCGTAGACTGAGGGGTCTGTGGACCCTGAAGAGAACCCGAGTTTGCTGAAAAAAATTTTTTTTAAAGGGAAAGAAGAGGAAAAAAAAATCAGGTGTGAACTCTTGTATGGGTAGAAAGAAAACCGAGGAAGAGAAGAAAGAAAGAGAGAGATTTATTTCATTTGAATATACCTCCTAGATGAGATGTGATTTATTTTATTAAATTCTGTTATGGCTAAGAAGTCACCATTATATACTGCTTAAGCCAAACTTGTCCAGGTCTTGTTCAAGATGATGGCCAACAGGGCAGATATAATGGAATTGCACCAGATTCCTGTATCTGAAACTCTAAATTCTTTTCAAAATATACTTAACTTGCAGGAAGAATAGACTCTTAGACCACAACAGAAAAGTCAGAAACACCAAGTTAACGTTCTTGGATCATTTCCATAGAATCCTGGGTGGTCTGTGAGGTTGATTATTTTCTTGCAGACATTTTATTACCCAACTAGGTAACGTCTTCAGTGCTGCAGGAAGTGGGATTAGCTCTTTTTTACATACAGTGGCTTGCCCTGTCAAGTGTTGGTGGGAGTATTGTTTATTATATTTGAGGGTTTGTCTGAACTGAGTTTCAAACTCAAGACAAATTCAATTCAATTTGGATCATTTCTCTAGAAGTTTTTCCAGAGTCTCAAGCACAGCATTATGCAGCAAAATAAAGATTTGGGCCTTATATTTACAGGGTCTTATAAAGGATAAACTGTGTTCTAATGTCCTGATGTGAGAAGATCCCAATATATATGATGTGGATTCATAAATACTTAGGATGAAACTGATGGAGTAATCTTCTGCTAGGCAATCAAATGTCTAAATCAGCTCTTAAAATATGAGCTTTTTTCCTCTCTAATGTGACTGGCTTGTCCTGTTCACTAATTGCTCCCTAAAATATGGTGAAAATAGTAATTTCTGCTTCAACAGCTAGAATAAAGAGCTGTGAATAATATGATGTCTACCACAAAAGATCTATTATGTTACACACTTTGTATATAACAAGTTATTAGGCAAAGTTATTTATTTACTTTATACTATTTGTAAGCTGTCCTAATCCTAAAGGTCAAAAGAAACAGTACAAACTAACTATAAACAATTACAATAAATCGTCCCAAACCTAAACATGATAGGCAGTGATAAAACTAAACTTGTCAAATGCTAAATATATTCTGAAATAGAACTGCTTTAATTTGTGTATGAAATACTAGCAGGGTTGGGCTGGGGTACCTTTGGGAGGAGGATATGGAGTTGATATCTGCTGCATGCCCCAGGCCTTTCACAAAACTGGGATCTGCATCAGGCCCTCTCTTGATGACCTGGCTAGATAGCAAAGGCAATTCTGGCAAGGGGGTGGCCCGATAATTCCCAGGGTTGTGCTGTATGGGCTATAAAGGTCATGACCACAATTCTGAAATTAGTTGGGAAACCTAATGATAATCAATGTAGCAACTTCAAAATATGTGTTACTTAGTCTAGCAGCGACCAACCTTAGCAACTTTAAGATCTGTGGACTTCAATTCCTAGAACTGCTGGCTGGGGAATTCTGGGACTTGAGTTCACAATTCTTAAAGTTGCCAAGGTTGGACACCCCTGCTTTAGTCTTTAATTTTCTTTCCTGGGCCTTCTGGCAACTCCTGTCTGTTAAAGAACAGAACAGCATATGCTGCACAACTATCCCAGGCTTGAAATTTATGACGAGAATGAAGAATATATACACTGCTCAAAAAAATAAAGGGAACACTTACAACAACACAATGTAACTCCAAGTCAACCACACTTCTGTGAAATCAAACTGTCCACTTAGGTAGCAACACTGATTGACAATCAATTTCACATGCTGTTGTGCAAATGGAATAGACAACAGGTGGAAAGCATAGGCAGTTAGCAAGACATCCCCAATAAAGGAGTGGTTCTGCAGGTGGTGACCACAGACCACTTCTCAGTTCCTATGCTTTCTGGCTGATGGTTTGGTCACTTTGGAATGCTGACAGTGCTTTCACTCTAGTGGTAGCATGAGACGGAGTCTACAACCCACACAAGTGGCTCAGGTAGTGCAGCTCATCCAGGATGGCACATCAATGCGAGCTGTGGCAAGAAGGTTTGCTGTGTCTGTCAGTGTAGTGTCCAGAGCATGGAGGCGCTACCAGGAGACAGGCCAGTACATCAGGAGATGTGGAGGAGGCCGTAGGAGGGCAACAACCCAGCATCAGGACTGCTACCTCCTCCTTTGTGCAAGGAGGGACAGGAGGAGCACTGCCACAGCCCTGCAAAAGGATCTCCAGCAGGCCACAAATGTACATGTGGCTGCTCAAACTGTCAGAAACAGACTCCATGAGGGTGGTATGAGGGCCCGACATCCACAGGTGGGGGTTGTGCTTACAGCCCAACACCGTGCAGGACGTTTGGCATTCGCCAGAGAACACCAAGATTAGCAAATTTGCCACTGGCGCCCTGTGCTCTTCAGAGATGAAAGCAGGTTCACACTGAGCACATGTGACAGACGTGACAGGGTCTGGAGATGCCATGGAGAACATTCTACTGCCTGCAACATCCTCCAGCATGACCGATTTGGCAGTGGGTCAGTAATGGTGTGGGGTGGTATTTCTTTAAGAGGCCACACAGCCCTCCATGTGCTCACCAGAGGTAGCCTGACTGCCATTGGGTACCGAGAGGAGATCCTCAGACCCCTTGTGAGACCATATGCTGGTGCAGTTGGCTCTGGGTTCCTCCTAATGCAAGACAATGCTAGACCTCATGTGGTTGGAGTGTGTCAGCAGTTCCTGCAAGACAAAGGCATTGATGCTATGGACTGGCCCGCCCTTTCCCCAGACCTGAATTTAATTGAGCACATCTGGGACATCATGCCTTGTGCTATCTACCAACGCCACGTTGCACCACAGACTGTCCAGGAGTTGGGGGATGCTTTAGTCCAGGTGTGGGAGGAGATCCCTCAGGAGACCATCTGCCACCTCATCAGGAGCATGCCCAGGCATTGTAGGGAGGGCATACAGGCACATGGAGGCCACACACACTACTGAGCCTCATTTTGACTTGTTTTAAGGACATTACATCAAAGTTGGATCAGCCTGTGGTGTTTTTTTCCACTTTAATTTTGAGTGTTAACTCCAAATCCAGACTTCCATGGGTTGCTAAATTTGATTTCCATTGATAATTTTTGTGTGTTTTTGTTGTCAGCACATTCAACTATGTAATGAACAAAGTATTTAATAAGAACATTTCATTCATTCAGATCTAGGATGTCTTATTTTTGTGTTCCCTTTATTTTTTTGAGCAGTGTAGTTTGACAAGATTAACATCTAGGTAATAGAAAGAATGAGTTGAGGTTTCCTCAATAGATGAATCTAAATTCTACCCTATTTCAGAAGCATCCAGTTGGACTTGCTGGCTACACTACTGTGCAGTTGTATGCTGCACCCTGAGGCTTGCACAGAATCCACAGCAATTTCCAAATCACAATTGCATTGAAATGGCTGTCATTTCTAAAATGTATATTGTCTCAAATATCCAGTTGATAATACCAGAGGAGGAAGAAGAGGGTGGGAGACAGGGAGTGAATGAAAGCTTTTCCATTGCCCAGCAATTCCCCCTTCCTTCCCCCCTCCCTACCACATCAAATTGGAAGAAACAAATAAATACATGAATGTAGCCTCTTGGAACTCTATTAATAGGAGGCCTAACATGCTCTCTAGGATATCCGTACCTTTTGCCAGAAGCTATAAATGTATAAGCTAAAGTAAACAATGGAAAGGTTACTGAAGGTTAAGTACATTCACATACTTCAGTCTAAACAGCCAGATGCCATGCTGGGAAGATAATTTACACAGCGTGAACTCGGTGCCCTAATTCTGACAAGGGGGGAGGGAGGGAAAAGCGGTGGGAGGTTTACTAGGAAACATCACATGTCCACCGTGAATGAAGGTCAATCAAAGGGCACCTTTGTTTATAAACCCAGCCGCTTTCCTCCTTCATCTTCCGCTGGGGATTCCCTAGTTGGCTGCCTGCCAGATTTGTGACATCACCTGTCAGCTAATAATAGAAATGCAGTCAGCCACCTGCCAGCAAAGATAGATGGGTTTTTGGTTACAGACTGACTAATTAAAGACTGCCTTAGCCCTCTGTGCTTGCCCCCACCCCACCTCCACTTGTTTCTCTGCTGCCAAGGAAACCCTGTGCTCTCTGTAAACTGAGGCTCAAAGTTTTCTAAACTAAGCCTGCTGAGAACATTGGAATTACAGAAATGTTCGGGTGGTGGTGGTGGAAATTGGCTCTTTTCCTTCATTGAAATGAAATGCAAAAACAATCGGCCTGAGTTAAAAGCCAGCTCAACTGCTGGAATTTCAAAGGATGGAAACATGTTTTGCAAATTTGATTTCTAATGATAGATAGGGACCGGAACTTTTGTCACTAAGTGGGGCGGTGGTTAAGTGAGTTGCATGTGATTTTATGGCCTTTTTTGTTGCAGTCATTAAATGAATCACACTGTTGTTAAGTGAATTGTGCATGGCTCCCCCCACACCCCTTGACTTTGCTTGTTGGAGGCCTCCTGGGAATGGCATAAATTGTAATCACACAACCCCAAAACACTGCAACCATTATAACTTCATGCTGGTTGCCCATTTTGATCATGTGACTACAGGGACGCTTGTGATCTGAGACTTTACCACGCCTCCGCGTCCATGTTATTTCTTGTTTTCAATCTGTCCCTAACTTTTTAGAAGTTATTTTTTTTTAATTGGAAGATTAAAATATGCAAAATAATATGCCTATTTCTAGTACATCTTAATTTTAAGGATGTCCTCATCCAGATGCCAAAGGTACTCATAGACAGGTGGATTAAGACAACGCTTTTTTTGAAATATGCAGAAAAGAGATGCTGGAAACAAGGGAAGAGGTTTGCTTGGGCTCTGGGTATATATTTACGCACACTTTTTGCTCAATTTTTATTTGTGTCTGTGATGCTTATATGTTGGTGCATGGTTTATGTAGCATTGGAATTTTGGTGCTGTTTATTACCTAGGGCCTTTGTGAGATGATATTTTGCATTATTATTATTATTATTATTATTATTATTATTATTATTATTGATTTAATTTTCAATTCACAGTCTGGTAAAAACTTAACAATTGTTAAGGTAATGTCTGAGTATATAGGCAGTTCCAAGAAAAGTGATTTTTTGCAAAGTTAGAATATTCAGGTCTGATAAGTTCAAAATTTCCATGTATCTACGCAGGGTATTGCTCCAAGGACTGTTATTACTATTGGTACAACCATTGATTTCTTCCTCCACAATCGCTCAACGTCAATTTGCAGATTGCGGTATTTCATTATTTTTTCTAGCTGTTTCTCGTCAATTTGTGCATCACCTGGTATTGCAATATCAATGAACCAGATTTTTTCCTTTTCCTTAATGATGTCAGGAGTGTTGTGGGCTGTCTGCTTGAATTCAAAAGTCCTACAAGATCTTGACTTGCTCATTTTCAAGAACTTTGTCAATCTGGTATTCCCAGGAATATTTTCTGCATTCGAACCCAAACTTCTGGCAAAACTTCCAATGTATAATACTGGTATCAATCATGACATTGTAGATAATCAGTCTGTGAGATTTTGCTGCAGTCACTGATAAAGTGATCCACTGTTTCATCTTTCTCATTGCATCAGCAGCATTTGCTGTTGTTACTGACATTTATTATTATTATCATCATAATCATTATAATAATTATTATTTAAGACTTAAACTCAATTTGATTCACAGCCTGGGACTGATAACAACTTAACAAGTCAAGCCCTAACCAAGAAATTGTTGTTATTGTTATTACTGTTATTGTTATTATTATTGAATGCGAAGGATATTTGGGTGTTTTGTCTCTCATGCACCTTTTTCTGAAGATTCCCAGTTTGCTTTTGATTAAATGGATGCAGAGTAAAACTGAGTGTCAAAAGAGCATGAAGCTTGTTCTCTATCTCTATATTGTTATCTATTTCATGAGAAAGTTTTTTTTTTCTTTGAGCAGGGATTTTTGTGAATGCAGCTATGTCCACAATGGCAGTTAATTATGAATGGGAAAGTGCCACCATGGCAGCTGTTTTGTGTCCTGATGCTTTTTCAGCATTGCACATTCGCATGCAGTAAGGTAAAATTCAATTATAGATCCAGCAGTAAGTTAGGAAGAATATGGAAAACATAATTTGGTAAACACACTCCTTTCTCCCCTTCAGTATATACTGAAGAGAATTCTGTTTAGTAATTGACTTTTTTATGAATAAATTGTAATTCAAAGAATTGAAAGATGAAACACTAACAGTTTTCTATTTCCTTTCTTCAAGCACCATTATGCATTGTTAACTCTCTTCATATATTTTGCACTGTTGGTGTGTCCATAAATTGCTTGTACAGAAGTGTTGAAAATTAGGTGACTAATCCTTACATATTTTGTAAAATCCCTAACTCAGCAGTAAAATCTATGAACAACAACTCATATATGGTGAATTTTTCCCCAGATGTAATCATGTTTTTGTTTTGAAAACAGAGTTTCCACTTGGTCTAACTATATCTTTCTGAACTAAATGATACTGATAAGACCTTTAAATGTGGGCTAAATGTTTATACCATGAACTCTGACATTTGTCTGCTTTACCATTTACTCAAAGTAAAGCTATTTTCCATTTGAAATCTATTTACTTCAGGCTGTTAAGAGGGTACTGAGATGTAAACAGTTATGATGAAAAGTAAATATTGGCACATTGGTTCAACTATATGGAAAATCATTCCTAATACTGATTCTTTTTGTTTATGGAATATTCATCTAAACAAAACTGTTCCAGCACCATCATTGACATGATAGGGCTTTTCAGAGATATTACAGCAATGGAGTTGCTATTATTCAATTTATCCCAATATTTTAAGTTTGCTGTTTTACTCCTCAGCATATTTCCTGTGATTACTTCCATTTCAACAAAAGCAAGTAATCTACAACCAATGTTTTCTCTAGTATTTCTGCTGAAAAAATAGCTCTCATCTCTGGAAAGTAATATTTTAAAGACTGATAGCTTTATTTTTACTTGCATTGAAGCCCACTTCATTATAAGAAATAAATATTGCTCTCAGTTGGCAAATATATATTTATAGGTAGGTGTGTACATACACCCAGAAGGTACTTAAGTATTTTGCTAAGGCAATGACATCCACAGTAATATTAATTCCAGAATGAATAAAATCCGATTTTATGAATAATTGTTTAGTTTGGGAAATTTCCATTGCTGCCTGTAAGTGAAGTATTTTTTTTGTTGAAGTACGGTCACCTTGTCAGACAAAAGAACTAAGAGATCTAAGTGTTCTTCAGTTTGTTTCTAGCATGCGGAGTTGTTTTTCTATTCTTTTTAAAGGAAACCGATCTGTTTGTTCCTGTTCACAAGTGCTAGTATATAATATCATATTTGAGGAACAATTGAATGAGCCCTTAATGGCCAAATAAAATAGCAGGTTGACTGATAATCAGATAATCAGAGTTGGAAGGGACCTTGTAGGTCATCTAGTCCAACCCCCGCCCATTACAATAGGACTACCTATGGATACCCCATCATTTTAGTTTCTCACTTTAAACTTCTAGCATGCATTTAAAAAGAACATGCTACATTTTTATGACTTATGATAGGCTTTTTTACTATGTTTCCTCCCCTTTCTTGGGTCTCTCAAGTCTTCTTACAACTACTAGCAATTTTCATTTCTTTTTCTCTTTCTTGCCACACACCTATCTCAATAAGTTACCCTCTCTGGAATATTCTATGTAGCTATTATGTATTATTTCAGTTTTCTATGATCACTGTTTGGTCTTCCTATTTTTATAGGAACCGTAGTGGAAGAGTGGTTAGAATGCAGTACTGCAAACTACTTCTGCTGACTGCTAGCTGTAGTTCAGCAGTTCAATTCTGACCGGTTCAAGGTTGACTCAGCCTTCCATCCTTCCGAGGTGGGTAAAATGAGGACCCAGATTGTTGGGGGCAATATGCTCACTCTGTAATGTAAACTGCTTAGAGAGGGCTGTAAAGCACTGTGAAGTGGTATATAAGACTAAATGCTATTGCTATTGCTACTGATCTGCAATTTGCTGCCTCTATTCTCTTGCTTTCGCTTCTTTCTAATGCTACCCAATAGTTCTATTCTCAGGTTTCTATTATCTCCACAACAAACAAATAAAAAACCTCTAAATGCTTTCCTAGGTTTCTGTGATATCAGAGCTGCTCAGCAAATCACTGCCCCAAACTTCATCACTGATAAACATTTGTTTATCAACATTAAAAATAGTATCAAAAATGTTATGAATAAGAAATGTAAAAACAACAGAAATCCATAGAATGATTTTCCTATATGTTGTAAATCATTTACTGGAACAATGCCATTAGAATTTTGCAGCTCTAAAAAAGTTCAACAAAAATGGAAATATAGCCTGATTCTGCTTCAGTAATGTGGAGTGCATTTTACTTCCATTAGAAATCACTTGTAAACAATTTTAATAGTTATTAATGGAGCTAAATTTAACATGCAGAATGTCGGTACAGATTTGACAGGTATTTGCACGTGTCAATATGAATATATGCAAATCCTTTACGAGATCTGTTGACATAGGTAATCAGGAACTACTAAAACCTCCCTTATTTATGAGCTTCAGAAATTAATTAGGAATATCTACATGTGCCAGATGTTTTTATGAGATTTAAGTTGTTTAGTATCTCCATCTCCTGTGCAATTTTTTAAAAAAGGATTGTTTCTGTAGTTCTTCAACTTACCAGGAGATGGCGGCTGAATCTTAGCTTGTTTTTTAGTATCTCCAGTGCTGAAGACTTCTGGAGGGGGTTCCTCCCCTCGTTCAATCTTGCATTCAAAGGCAAAGAGGTATTGAATATATTGTTTTTTCAAGGAACTGGCTGCGCTGCTCGAAGTGCCAACATTTAGGTTGGTAGCTAGCTCACGCCACTTCTTATTTTTATTAACCTAGGAAATGAAGGAAGGAACAAAGACACAAATAAATAAAATAGCAGGTTAAGTGAACTGCAGCAAAGTAGATTGATAAAAAACCTGAACACAGAAAAGGAAAAAAAACCCTACAAGTAATGTCTTTTAAAAAACTCTAATGCCCATTATTCCCACACTTAATAATGCATAAACATTATCTGCACTTACCAAACCATTAAAAAAACTTACTTTATATAAAATGCTTTGCTATTTACATCTCTACTTTTTATGCTCTCAGTGAGCTTGTGATGTGTAGTGTGATCAAATTTATTTTATATACTTCGTTCCTCTGACACACAAACATACAGTCTGAGTGGTTTTTTTAGATCAGCTTTTAAAAGCAAATTTTAAATGGCAATAATAAAGATATTCTTGAAGTGCTTAACATTGATGCAAATAATTGTTTTCTTCTTCAAAATAACAGCTCCAGGTTTGTTCAGTTAGTATTTCTGGTTCAGGGGCTAAAACTCCAGGCCCTTTATAAGGGTGACAAGCACTCACTATGCAGAAGAAAAGATGCACTATGATACATTTATTTAAAAATTCTACAGAGAAAATACTAATGAATGAAATGAATTCTGTTGGTAATGCATGATACTAAAATTCTAAGAGTTGCTTAAATAAAACTGGATGATGTATGAAGATCAAAAATGTATACTGTATGTATCCTTTATGTAGATCCATTGCAGCATATCATTTTCACTTCCCTGTTATGTGTATATGGTTAAAAACAAATCTAACAAAATATTCACCTATGTATTTTTTCAATTATAGCATACACAGCTATGTGCTTTTCTTTCTGTATCTTTATTTGAAATCACATTTGTATGAATCAGTCATTGTTTACAAGAGGTTCCATATTGGTGTACAAAATTATATTGGGTGATATTTATATAAGCAGTCTAATTTCACTGATTATGCATGAAGATGAAATTCATTCTCATCTTTTTATTTCCAGCAAAATTTCAACATAGCCAATTTGGAAAGCAGTTTAAGGCACTGGTTAGAATTCAGGGGACCATGAATTCTAATTCTGTCTTAGGCAAAAAGCCAACTGGGTGATGTTGGACCAGTCAATCCTTCTCAGCCCCAGGAAGGAGGCAAAGGCAAACCTGAAAAAGCTGCAGGGACTTGTCATCATTTTTAATATGAAAATGAATTTAGAACAATCAGAAAAGTGTTATTTGGGAGGATGGAGGTTGGGGATAGTTAGATTGGATGATTAAGAAACCCAATAAAGTAAACATAACATTTTAATATATTTTAACACTTTTCTTGAGATTACACACTCTGAATTCTGATTGGATATTCTTGCCGTTCTGGATTCTGAGGTTCTCTGCACTATGTTTAAATGTTATTCTTTAAGTACCCAGTCTTCAGTCTTTGAAAATATGCAGATTACAATGATGTTCAGTTGCATTTCAAGGATAGTCTCTACTTTTGCCTGCAAAGGTAAGATTAAAGCCATTTGACAATCTGGCATCACTCACAATCACTCACCTGGGCTAAGCCTCCAATCTCCTTAACACAAACATAGAGTCTAAAAAGATCCAGTGGCTTCTTGCCAACAGCAGGGAGACCAGCTACAGGTGTTCCCCTTTCTTCCATGAAGTTGAGATAGCGATCCACCCAAACTTTCCGCTCTGGTTCAGTCCCCAGCTCATACATTTTGGTGATCTTCTCCCCGGTTGTGTTGGAGGAACTTGATTTCTAAAGCAAATACATTTCAAAAAGAAAGTTGGGGAGGGAGGGAGAAGGGAAACGGTAGTAAGAAACTAATACAACGTATTAGATAAAGGAGGATGTTAAACTAAAGCTATCACACAACAGACAGGAATGAAGGCTACTAGTTCAGGCACAAACAATACATTCTGTCCACATGCTGCATTTCATTTATAAAACAAAGGGCCCAAACTCCCAATTTTATTTTTTCATATTAATTAAGATAAGCTTTGGATCTCAGAAGGCAAGTTTCTGATGATGCCTGAGGTTAGTAATAATTTCACTCTATTAAAAAATGAAACCCTGAACACAAGATAATTCAAACATTCACATTCAAATCAGTTCTGCTGTAATTAGAATGAAGAGAAATCTAGTCCTTCACACCATTCGTGAAGCAAACAAGGAAACGACAACTGGCAGTAACTTCATACTACTATTCACCGTAATTCCTAATTCATATGTAAAAACCGCATATAGTTAAATACTGTTTTCTGATTTATTAACCTTGGATTTGACAGCTGAATTAAACTTCATTGCAGAGTTTCTTTTCCACATGCCTTTTTATCTCACATCCCTATTATGTCTATGTGGTTAAAAACAAATGTTTAAGAAATATCAGAATAGCTATTTACTATTTGCCAAAGTTTCATGTTGATTTTATTTCCTCTTTATTGTTTGACTTCTTTTTCTATCATCAATGACACTATCCTGATTATTATCATGTGTAGAAGAATTCCTCAAATATGACCTGTAACTTTATCTCAAAAAGAAAAAAAATCTTACTAATTTTAACCCTTGGAAAAATTGGTGCATTTGGCATTGTAAACTAAGCACGTGGTATTCTTTTTCAGGATGAATTAGCTTTTTAAAGACTATTTTTAGACAACTATTTAAAGACTTGCAGAGTAATCTAAAACTGTCCTGACTGTGATAATGTAAAGAAGGAATTCTATGTTACAGGTAGAGGCAAGGAGAAAAAGGGGACAATTACTAAATACATGAGGAATACTAACCTATCTGTAATTAAAGAAACTGGATTATAATTGAGTTTAAATCAAATGAGATTAGAATTAGTTATTGCTTTCATATTGCTTATTTTTTTTAACCTATCCGTGTCTACTTTTTGGAACATGGTCCAAGAGCTATGTTGCTTTTGGCCTGAAAAGAATTGCACACATTATTGCCTACATTAATGGTGCAACAATGTTAGATGTGGGGTTGACTATGAAGCCAGTGGTTGGCAGAGTACTGTGTCCCATGATTAAAAAAAAACTTAAAGGTTTCCTGTCCTGACATGTCCAACTATAGGAAGAGGTGCTCATTCTGTTTCTTATCTGAGGGAACCACCATTGTTTGAAGACACTTCTCTGGTCATGTGGCCAGCATGACCATATGCTGAGGTGCACAGAATATTGTTATTTCCTCACTGAAGTGGTACCTATTTATCTGCTTGTATTTGCATGCTTTCAAACTGTTAAGATTGGCAGGAGCTGGGGCAAGAATGGGAGCTCACCCTGTCATGTGATGCTTGGGTCTCAAGCTGCCAACCTTCTGGTCATCAAGATCAGTGTCTTAACCCCTACGCCACCGCACCCAGGACTAAAGCACTGCATGGTGATGAATGTAGCCTGCCATCCATATCCAGGGACTGAAGCTTATTCTTACATCATTCAGTAATATGTAAATAGTTTTATCTCTAGCCTTGTGTTATTCTATGGAATTTTGTAGGTGTTTGAAAAAGAAGATGGAGTGGCTATCTTCTTGAACTTACCTTTCTTCCAGTTTGTTCCAGTAAAAAAAAACAAAAAAAAAAAACTATTCAATTTCCTTCAATCCAAAATTTTGGTTGGCTCCAGTGCCTCCATGAATAGAATTTCTAAGTTTCCGTTCCCATACCTGGCATACTTATAATTGTTATCTAGCCTGTTGATATGGAGAACATGAGTAATTATGTGCCTTAAGCACATCTGCCTGCACATTCTAGCTGGTTATAAAACTGGATTATCAATTTCATAAAGACCCAAAATTTGGAAAATGAAGCATGGACACTTACTATATATTTAGATCCAGATTTTTTTTCAATTTCAAGCGATCACAATATTTCTAAGGCCAGTCAGAGGCCATTTCCCCATGAATGGTTTAAACATCTTACATCCTCTAGCCATTATTAAGTGATATAAAGCTTGTCCCTATTATTGTTATTTTGGCAGAATGATTGTTGGATGATTTAGATGGCAGTATAAGCTTCTAGCAGGAAAATGAGCAGAGTCAAATATTTTTAGGTCACATTGATTTCACAGGAGATTTAAAATAAACTTAGAATTCTTCTGCTGAAGTATACTGTTTCATTTTATGTAGACTAGGTCCGTGGCTTTTAATTAATTAAATCAGCCTGCCTCTAAAGCTTTTTACCTTACACACAGAATTCTAATTTATTCACTGTAATGCTTCCTGGCTGTAACAGTGTCTATCACATTGTGAAATAAAGGACAATGTCAGATCTCCTTTTAGCATATTTAACTATGGGACAATTATTAATTAACACAACTGAATTTGCTTTACTAGATACAAATAAAGAACTGCAGTAGAAGAATGTCCTGGCACAAAGCATGGTGTCATACAACGTGGTTGCATTTCTTAATTCAGAAGGATGCTATTTCCTTCATACAAGTATATCAGGCATTCAAACCACTATGTTAGCAAGCTTTTTTTATTTTAAGAAAACCGTTTGCTTTGAAAAAGAAACAAAAAGAATTCTAGCTATGTTGCAGATATTTAATGTTCTTTTGAAAAGGTCACTTTCAAGTTGGAATCCATTTTCACTGTGCTGTTTTGAACAATAATTCAGAAGAGAGCTGACAAGAACATATAGCCTCCTGATCAACAAATTATTGTAGCTAATATCAGTACTGTTCATTAGTTTTTGTACTTCCTTACTCGTGATATCAATGTTTTATAATGGCACAAATGTTATCTAAGTTTAATACAATCCTTAAAATTTTTTCACTCTGCTCCTGAACCAATTGCCTATTACAAGGAACATTCAGACTTAATGGCCAAATAGAGGTTTTCAATTTTACACAGTGAAATACTTAAAACACTAAATCATCCAAGAATGGAAAGTAGCTTAAAATCTTTTCTTTGCTGGACATTTTGTACTGTCTACACACATAAAGAAAAGTCACTTTTCAATGAGATGGTGCAGGCCACAAAGTGACAACTTAATCTGAAAACATCACAAGGTACAGAAGGACTTCTCACTGCAGGAGCTTTCAGGCTGTCAAGCACAGTGAAGTGGTGCAATTTTCTTTTAAAATGAAATATTAACTTTGAGAAGAAAAAAGGAGAAATCTTCCCATAGAAAACTTGATTTTCTACTGCTTAAGCCCTACAGCAAAACACATTAAAATTTCACATTTTGCACATGCTACTGTTCAGTCAAGCACAAATTACAGGAGCCTCATATGGCCAGACTGAACGGAAAGTCCATCTTCCCTTAAAGGGAAGCCTTTTATTTTATAAGGTTTATTTTACCCTAAAACTATTAAACTATAAACTAAATTCAGTTTAACAATCAATGCTGAAGTAAATAATAAAAAAACGAATAACAAACACAGGTGGATTTATTTGATACACAATAAATACTTTTGAGAGGATTAAAAAAGTATCCTGGTGCATAATGAAAAATTATTAAGAATTTTTGGCAGAAAATCATATAGGGCCACATTCAATGCTGCCCTGCATGCCACCCACAGCTGTTGTAGGGACCTGGTGGTGGTCCTTTAACAGGGGCCTCCAACCTTGGCAACTTTAAGACCTGTGGACTTCAACTGGCTGAGGAATTCTGGGAGTTGAAGTTCACATGTCTTAAAGTTGCCAAGGTTGGAGACCCCTGTTAAAGGACCACCACCAGGTCCCTACAACAGGTTTTGGGCTGCTTGGCCAAACACAGAGAAAGAGGAGGATTCAGAAATGTGCCATCTCTTCAGTGGAAATGAGGCATAATATGAGGAGATAAAACTTATAACTTCTGCATCTAATATATTTTATCCAGTAGTTTTAATATCACTCAACACTATAAAACTATTTTAATGGGTATAATATTTCTGCATCTTTTTATGTAATATAATTTATACACCTGGGGTTGCATTTACAGATAATCTTCGTGTAGTGACTGCCTTATTTAGCGACTGTTCACTGTTATGAGATGAGACCCAGTTTGGTGATGAGAGCTAGTTTGGTTTAATGGTTAAGGTGCTGGTCTAGAACTAGGAGACTATGAGCTATAGTCCTGCCTTAGGCATGGAAAACTGCCTGGGTGTCTTTGGGCCAGCCACTCTCTCTCAGCTCAACCTACTTCATAGGGTTAGGGTTAGAGAGGAAGGAGTATTAGGAATGTTCATTGTCTTCAGTTATTTATACATAATAATAAATGTGGGATAGAAAACGAAATGAAATAAATAGAAAAAGTAACTGACCAATCCTCACATTTATTACCTTTACAGTCTGTAAAGCAGACTGTAAAGGTAATACATTCCTTAAAGCAAAGGAAAGGTCAAGTAAGATCATAAGCACAGTCATGGTTTAGCTTAGTGATCTCTTCACTTAACAACCAAGTTAAGTTAACAATTATGGATGTTAAATCGGAACTACTTCTACTAACCCAAGTTTGCATAGTCTCTTTATATAAGGTGTTGCGAGGACACTGCGCTACAGTTTCTGCATGTGTACATGCAAGACATTTCAGCTAAAGTTTGTATATTGTGACAATGTGACACACTGTCTAGAGGAAATACAGTTATTAGAAAGAGAATACATTTTAAAAACTTTATTTTTATCTACAAACATCCTGCAGTGAATACTGCATCTTCCTCACTGTAAGAGTCCTGGTTATTTTCCATCAGTTTGGAATTTGTATGTTATTTGGACTGTCCAAAATGTAATGCTGACAGAATACAAACCCAGCTGCTGATTATTCTGTGTGTCTATTGTTACCCTAATTATTGCTTATAATTTTAATTACATAACTGCAAACACTTGATACTCTTTATATATATTAGGTGTTCATCCGTTAGATTCAGAGCTTTTGATATTAATTGGTAATTGTAATTATTAAACTGTTCAGGATGTTATGTATTTACTCTAATTTTTGTATTAATAATAGGTCCTTATTGTGACCATCATATTGCATATTGCGAAAAAGATATATTTTGTATTTCCCTGGGTAGGAAACAGAAGTTAGTTAATTTAGAAATATATTTATTTAAATATTGATTAAATTTAGGTTCCACCCATCTCTTCTAGGGTATTACTGAGTAATACAAATATATCTAGTGATGTTCACATGAGCACTTCAGCCTGAGACTGTTTTTTCAAATAATTTCCGTTGAAATCAAAGGACAATTGTGACCCAGGTTTTCTACTTTCCTATGTCCTTTCACAAGTCCTTTCCCTTGCCTTTTGTTAAAGTTTTGAATTAATTTCTAAAAACTCTACAACATAGCAATGTTTACTTCATCTGAAAATAAAAAGGTAATTCCTCTTTCAAAAAAATCTGAAGTAGTTCTATTTAATTATTGCAGAAACAAAAATATGTATTTCTAATACTCTCCCTGGAGATATATAATAGCTAAAAAAGCACATGGATGCATATTTTCTCCCCAAAGATCTTTTACATTTCCAAAAAATGTTTTAAAGGATTGACATTCTGTGCACTTAATGTATCCCCAACCCACAGTTTGTAGAGCTGGCATTTAGACTTCCAGTTAGGAATAACTACTTTTGAGCATAGAGGGAACATACACCAGAAAGATGCCTTCTGAGATTCAAAGCCAATTTTTCTGAAGGATTCAAACGTTGCTAAGTGATTTCTATTTGTTTGCTTCTCATCAGTTCCTTTCTGTAATTGATGTTTTTACACTGGATTATGACCATAGATCTAAAAAAAATACAATGATCTTTTACACTGGCCTTTTTAATTGCATTTATATTTTCTTTGGAAAGAATTTAGAGAGAAAGAGAGAGAAAGAAGGTGATTGGAAGTACTGTTTCCAAGATATCACGCACCCCTAAGCTTCACCTGAAAAACTAGAAATTACAATTAACCTAAAGATGTCAAGGAAACAGGTCTGGAAGAAAGAGTAGCCCTTTTTGCCTCTATAAAGTTTAAGTAGCCTTTCCATGAACTAAAGGTAATCCTTGATTTACAACCTTTCGTTTAGTGATCCTTTGAAGTTACAGCATCACTGAAAAAAACGGACTATTTTTCACACGTATTTTGATCACGTGATCAAGATTTGGATGCTTGGCAACTGGCTCATTACTTATGATGGTTGCAGTATTCTGGGGTCTTGTGATCACCTTCTGACAAGCAAAGGCAGTGGGGGAGCCAAATTCACTTTACAACCATGTTACTAACTTAACAACTGCAGTGATTCACTTTACAACTGTGGCAAGAAAGGTTGTAAAATGATGCAAAATTCGCTTAACAACTGGTTTACTTTGCAAGAAAAATTCTGGGCTTAATTGTGGTTGTATGTTGAGGATTACCTTGAGTATGCTGAAACTGCAATTGCCAGAACTCCCAGTAAGGAAAGGGATGGGCTGGCTGAATTCCGGAGTTGTAACCTCAACACATTTGAGAACACTAATCTGGGAAGGCTGATCTTGTGTACATGTCATCATGTCAGAACATTCCATGAATATTTTTTTGCCAACAACAAGCAATTATGTGGAATGTGTCACAGCATTTTTTTCATTTTATTTAGTACATAGATAAATTAGTTTTTAAAGATGGCAATTTGGCATGAGCTAGATTTGGAATGCTGATTTTGAAGGCCTCTAAACATTTTTTTACTGATGCATATTTTAAAAAAAATACTGCAGAGAAATAATGTTTCATTTTATACATTGTCTTTCATTCTAGTCTTTTCACACGCTATTTCCATTAAATGTCACATAAAAATCAAGACATCGTTGAAAACACTCTGCTGAACTTTATAACAAATTAGTGATGCGTTTCAGCATTTATGTTATCACACAGCAAAAATTTCTTAAAAGCAGAAATATTTTTCTTAATGTTACAATAAAAATGAAGGTAATTGAGGAAAATTAGTTAAGCTTTGGTATCTGGAAGCTTTGTAACAAATAATGTTCTTGTTAAAATGCTGTCTAAAAACTATATTTACACTTTGCAAGATTTCACCCATTCCAAAAATAACTTTCTAATGTGGCAAGTACGTTTGGCTGCTCAGAAATTATTATCTGAGTTGTTCTGTAATGCACACAAGTGAGAACAACAATGTTTTCTAAACCAGAAGAAATGAATTTTTAGATTGCTATGCTATTTATGACCAATTGAAAATCCTCTTCGTTTGCTAAGAGTTTGGACCCCATAACAGAGACAGAATGTTCTGATCAACACAGAAGGCATGCTTTGTAAGCTGATGCATTACGAGAGAAAGATTTTCTTCACAACATCGGCTATATTACAAAGTAAGGCAAACTTCTTTAACACATTCAAAATGCCATTTTTTTCTTTCTTGTTACTCTTTTATTTTAAATTGGGCTGGGCCAAATTTTGCCCTCAGTCAAGCAAGCTCAACTCCTACCTAAACTTGAGCGAAGGGATGAGCTGCACATAGAGAACCAAGAGCAGAATTTAGCCTAGACTGCTTACATGAAACAAACCCTTTAGTGGGTAAATAATGAACAAAAGAAACTATAAAACAGACAAGCAAGCATTAAAATATTAATAAATACCAAAAAAACCCAAAAAACACAAAAGCCAGAGCCACTTACAGGGCTTGATGGAGTCTTTGGCCAGCCTGGGCTGCCAATGCTATCACTTTCATCTCCATGAAATGAGGAGATGCTAGCAGAACTTGGGGACATTGGGGAAGGGACTGGCAGGTTGCCTGGGGTTGGGGGCTGAGAAATACCCTGAGAGCTGTAGCTATCCTGTGGTAGAGGAATAAAAAAAGGACAAAGGCAGGGCAAACTTTATTAAAAAGGAAAAAAAAATACATCCAGTTTAACAGACTGACCATTTTTTAACTGTATGAGATATAAACAGACACACAGAGAAAAGACACAACGTATAATATACATATGCCTTAAAATAACATTCATCATATAATTTTGCAATTTTGCTGGATGCTTAGCTTAAGCTGCTATGCCACCATGCTTTCATCAAGCTAAATGGAGCATCAAGCAGGGGTTTCCCCTCATGAGATAAAGAGAGAGAAAGAAGGAAAGAAAGAAAGAAAGAAAGGGGGAGAGAAAAAATAAAATAAAGAAAGCTGGTCATCTTATTTTTATCAAATAAGGGAAAAAAAAGCAAAGAATTAAAGTATGCTGTGGCTATTGAAACGGCCAAAACAGAAAGCTATGATGGAAGACAGAGGAAACATGGCTGCCAAGTACCAAGGCTAAGATAAGATTCACTTTTTCCCATTCAGGGTTTAACTGAAACCCCACCCACACCCCGAATATTTTATTGAGCTTTATTTCCCCACCTCCCAAGGTAATGCCATAAGAACTAGTAACTTTCAGATCCAGATAAGGAAAAGAATAAAACCAAAATAATAGATTGCACATGAATGGTGGTGGGTGGGGAACCATGCAGGAAAGAACTGAAGGGGCAAGCTCAAATCAGAGAATGAAGGACAAAGCAACAGAGTTCTACTGTGCCAAACCAAGAATGCATGCAAGGGAAGGAAGTACCTTTTTGCTCTCTGGCTGGGGAGGTCCTTCTTCTTTTCCATCTGGTTTGAGAGGAACGGGCAATTTGGACTCACCTTGAGTCATCAAATCTGCAAGACCCATAGGTGCTAATTGAAAACAAGAGACATGATTAAGGGTAACTTTCTTCTGCTCCCAATTGATGGCATGAGACAGTCAGAAAAAGTGGAAGCTGGGAAGATCTTTGTATCTCAGCAAACAGATTTTGAAAATGAATTAAACATTTTTTTAAGGGGAATCAATTGCACAATTCTTTACAGCTACATATGCCACATTCATCCTGGAAAATGACGACCAACTTTATTAGGCCCATCTTTGATTTGTGAGCTGGCAAACACTGTTGAAGTGTTAGATGAGTTAACTCAAATATAACTATGTTCAATTTCATGAGAATTTTTATCAGTCATACTATTTTCGCATACAGAATGCAGTGACTCATTAGGGAACATCAGTGCTACTGAAAAGCTACTGTGATTAGATGCATTTACAATAAATGTCAAAATACTGGGCATTCTGGAACAGAACAAAACAGCACACTAAAGCACTGAAGACCAAGAAAGCTGGGGCTGTAATAAAAGAGAAATGTGTGATTTATTTATTTAAATGGATTTAAATGCTTCTGATAATCCAAAGATTTACTCTTCCCTTTATTCTCATTCCTAACCTTAAGACCTTTTTGTTTTACAAGAAAACTAGGTATGCGTATGAAACTCCTGTATCTATGGATCTCTTTACAGATCAGATAGGACTTTACTAGAAAGACACAGAAACCAATTGCTGTCACATCAGCTATTACAATTAATACATTAAGGCACTGAATTGGACTTTGCAATGCATTACAGTTTCGGAAGTAGAATGAAATCCTTACAATTACATTACTAAGCACTTTGTAATACTCTGCTAACCTTCTAGTTAACAAATGCTTGGCCTGCAATAGATTTAAATGCACTACATTCTTTAGCAGGTAAATTATTTCATAGATCTCTCAGTGGCTGACATGAACATTCAGCTCTAAAGACGCCAGTTGGGAATACAGTGCAGTGTAATATTGATAATTCTCGTTCAAGTAAGACTTATGCAGCCATATCACAGAGGTATGCCTCAGAAATGTTCATTGTTTCCTAGTGTTGGAAGCATATGAGAAGTAAGTTATAAGACCATTGCTTTTTCTCCTTCTCTTTTTCCTATGATTTTCCTACATTCCGTTTTGGATTAGGGACAGGTACCAGTATGGCTGTGGGATGCACTCCATAGACACACAACTATATAAAATCCAAGATGTACAGTTGTGACTATATCTGTTTAACCCTAAAGCACAAATAAAAAACAGCAACTCCTCTTATACTTACAAACATCTTCTAGAAATAATTGAAAACCATACAGGTAGTCCTTTACTTATGACTGTGATGGAGACTGTCCATGAGGGTTGTAAGTCATGATGGTCATAAAATGTGTCAACCTGATTTTTTGTGGTGGTCATTAAGTTGAATCATTACAGTCATTATACAGAACCGCCAGCTTTAAGCAAATCTGTAGCCATTAGATGAACCCATTGTTTGCTTTTGGAGCTTTTTTGTGGAAAATTGGAAGTAAATGCTGGTTTTTGGCAAAAAAAGTCATAATTCACAGTCATGAGACTGTGGGGTGCGGCAAATGCCCATAAATGAAAGCCAGTTGCAGGCTGTTGCCAAACACCCAAAATGTGCACGTGACTGCATTGGGAGGATGAACTTTAAATTGGGTTGTCAGTACCTTTCAAGGGATTTATAGTAACTTTGAATGGTTACTAAAGATTGGCCATAAGTTGATGACTACCTGTAGTGTATACTAGATAACGTGTGTGTGTGTGTGTGTGTGTGTGTGTAATTCATTCAGTGTTTCCTATAAAATCAAAGTCTCACAGCAAATACTATTAGCAGTTACTTTTTTTCATTCATTCTTCAATGTACAGTAAAAACACACTCACGGATGAAGTCGAATATAGATGTCCCAGGATAATGCTGCAGCATCCAATCTGGGTCGATCACCGGGACAAGAGGTTTGGTCTTCCGAGCTTTTGGACATTCGTGCTGGAGCCCATCCTCAGGGAACTTCTCTCTCACTCTGCTAGGAAGAAGTTCCCCGAGGAAGGGGGTTCCAGCATGAGTCCCAAAGCTCGGAAGACAAAACCTCTGGTTCTGCTGACTGATCCAGATTGCACTAAAAACGCTAACAAACAGGGTATTCTGGTATCTATTTACAAGTCATGTAAAAATCCTGAGTGGCAAAAAAAAAGAAAAAAAAAAAAAAGCTAGTGAAATATGCCAATGATTACAGACCCAGAAACTTCAGTCTATGGTTGCTGGGCTGTTTTGCTTTTCTGCAACAGGGTAATGCAGATTCCAAGCAGCAGCCAACATGTGGGAGAACAAGCCAAAGGGAAAGGGGGAGCTTTAAAAACACTTTGCAGATTGCCCACTACAAAATGATTATTGCACATATCCATGTATTACTATGTTTTAGGAAATAATTAGTTTTAATTACAGCAGTGAGAGAAGGAGCAAGACTCTGGAGGATAAGCTGGCAAGCTTCATGGTGCTAATTTGCTAATATTTTTAGCATCACTTCACTGCAGGTTGGGAGAATGGCTCTGCCAAAAAAAACCTATCCAGCATGTGCCACAGGAGTATACAGTTAGCAATATATTGAATATGGCTCTGTGAACTGCCAGTACCGGTAGGCCAAAGAAGATCAAACTAAAAGGGAATAAAATTGAAATGCTATAATACAGCTTTACAAGAACATATTGCTCTTCTTAACTAATGGAATAGCAGAAAACAAAGGGACTTAGGGATCAGGTAAACATTCCAGTGCAATTTTCAATGAAATGAGTAAGAAGTGCAAAATGCCCTCCCAACATGGAATATGCTGATTCCAGATCAGAAGACCACCTTGAGTATGGCTGACATTTTCTCCACTTCCCCCACCCCAAATCAGACTATAATGCTAGTCGAAGTTATCCGGTATTAGGTGTACATAAAACTGCTGCAAGCCTTCCAAAAGAAGCTTGAACAATGAGCTTGAACATTTTGCTTGAACAATGAGCTTGAACATTTTTGCTATTTCTAAATTATTCAGGTAACCATTTGAATGACTGCACAAGAGCAGAACAATCTGAATATAGAAGTGTAATCTAAATCTTGGATGATATGTTATGGAAGAAGAATCATGAGCAATCTATATCCTCTGAAATTGGTTTATTTCTTGCCTGAGTCAGCAAGAGAGCTTATAAGACATCTGCCACATGTGTTTCCTCTGTGAATTATGAAGCGCATCTGGATACAAGAAAATTGCCATCTGTACTGTGATCCATTGTCCACAGCTACAACTAGAGCAAAGCTACTGTCATTTTGAGAAAGAACAACTAGTGCAGTTTGTAAATAGATAATAAATTCTAGCTTTCTTGTGGCATTCTCCATCTTTTGTTGCAATGTTCTTTATAAGGTCTCAGGAGTCCCCTTGCTTTCAAGTCCAGTGACAAGCTGGGGGCATCATTTTGACCCTGTTTCAAGCAGTGAAAGAATGCAATTGTCACTGTTCTGGCAAACTCCAGTGCATACACATTAACAATCCAGCCCATAAATTGTCAAAAGACACAAAATGTAAAAACGGAAGATAACTGTGACATCTATTACTGAAAAATATTGCTGTAGAGAGTGAATGGGCTCCAAGAAATAGCCTTGGGCTTTTTCCAAGTTGAAAGTTGGGATAGTTGAGAAAAGAAAATATGGGTCAAGGTCCTGAATGACCTACATCACACCAAACTTAGCACACTTAAAGGCAAATACAACATAATTTATATTGCAGTCAAGCGGTCTGTGTTTTCTCCCCTATCTTCTGATAAGGATATTGTTGTAGATGTCAGAAAATGTTTTCAATGCTAGTGGCAGCTCAAGCAACTTTGCTAAAAGCAATAAAAATCTTAATATATCAGCAATTGAATTATGCACATTAGATATATATCCCTTACTGCCTTCTAGAATTAATGGGATCTTACATGGGGTTTCCTTTTATTTTGCCCCCCAAATCAGTACAACTTTGTAATGTGGGTTGGGTTGAGAGGGAAGGCTGATAACCACCAGAGAGTCTTCATGTTTAAAGATGGGTTTGAATTTGACTTACCCTGGTTAAAGAATAACACTTTGATGACTATGCCACATTTACCTATCTTATAGTGAGTCAGGCCACAAATATATCCAGTCCCTACTGAGTGTTGAGACAGAGGACGATCTTTTTTCTTGAGCCCAATCTATAAAGAGCCTATTCACCCCTACTATTTGATATTAAAATCTAACAAAACTGTATGCATGTTTACTTATCCAAAATTCTTATTTATAAGCAGTCTGGAAATGGCTGAAGTAATGTGTGATAGCAGAGGAAAAAAGAGGAGGACACAATCCAGAATGTGCTGAGAGATATTGTGATGTGAGCTTGCCAGTTCACCTTTTCTTGATCTTGAAAATGGGGAAATTGGCTAGTCTGGATGGGATTACACTCCCTCTATAGCAGGAACTCAATCCAATGGTGTTCCTAGAAATAATACTTCCAATGTAGTATCCTGGGTTATCCATTACATTTGATGCCTCCTCTTTGCACCACAATGGCTCATAGTTCAGCTCAGGATGTTGTGACTGCATTGTGGTATCATCCCACAAATCCTTTATGCAGGTGTTTTTGCAAAATGAAAAGGTTGGTTGAGGAAAAGATTGGTTCTGAGATCTAAATCCATTGTCTGTAGCTTGCATTATGTTACATTACCACCGAATAGTTTTCTCAGCATAGGAAATTCACAAACTCTCTATGTTCTCATAGCTAGAGGTCCTATATTTTCTGAAATATGCCTGAACACTTTTTGTGGGTAGACAGATTCCTGGATCGAGGCAAATGACTACCAAAGTGACAGATATGCTTTGCTTAGAACAGAACTGCTGAAGTGAGCAGCGGTAAAGCTGTAAAGCCAAATATAATATTTTGTGCCAATTTTCTTAAGCAATAATAGAAGAAACTGTTTGTGGCTAGAACAAAAATTACCTTAAAATATAATTACATTAATGGCAAGTTTATACAGACTCAGCAATATTGTTAAGCAATACCTTTTTTTTACTAAAACAAGCATAATGAAAATTTATCTCCAGTAAGTGAACCACAAGACAAAAAAAATGGGAAAAGGAAAAGAAAATCAAGTTATAGTCATGAAATAAAATTTTAATACATGCTTCCTTTTTTCAAATGAAATATTTATGGTGCTTGCCATTTTTTCCTTGGCATTATAACTGCAAAGGCAGTTATATACATACCCACTTTTCTTTCAATAATTATTTAATTACTAAGGCCTATAACAATTCATTTCTACCCAAGAGGCTACTTGAAATGCTTCCTATCTTCCAAGATCATCTGAGGGGTATTTTCTTTATCTTCTATGTTGCTCTAATTGAACAGAGAGATAGTTAAAGTGCCAGTTATCTGAATTAATGTCTTTGGATAATTCTATTAAACCATTATTGGCAGAACTACAATGTCCTTTTTTGAGGCAATATATAGAGGTCTCTGAAAATTTTTGCATGTGTTCAGAATCAAAGAGAAAGAAGGTAGCCTGGCTAAGCCTTCCTGGCTGGTGGAAAATTCTTGAGCTAGGATTATTTTCTGTTGTTGCTGTGGAGCAACACCAATACACCAGTGCTGTTTTGTTTGCATTGCATAACCCTAGTAAATTACTTAATTAGAGTAAATTTAAAAAATACAACTAAAACAACTTTGCACCTGCTCCAACCTGGTACCATCCAAATATGTGGACTTTAACTTTAAGAATGTCCCAGCAATTATGGCTATTGCTGCAAATTCTGCAGCTTCACATCCACAGATCTAAAGGATGACAAAGTTGGGAAAGATTCACTGAAGTCAATGATTTTTAAACTTTTTTCTCTCAGGACCCCTTTCCACTTAAAAAAATATATATATGGAGGAGCATAAAAGAGCTTTTGTTTCCCTGGTTTACATTTATCAACATTTGCCATATTAAAAATTAAAATTGATGCATTCACTGCTGCTATTGCTTCTAAAAATTGTTTGATGGGATTTTAATATTGTATTATTTTAATTTAATTAACCAACTAGGAGTCAGAAGACATAATGAAAAGTCCTTCATCTCACAACACATGGACAGACTCAACCATAGTTTCCACTTGGAAACATCCTAGACCAAGCTAAATACAAAAAGGCTAGGGAATTATTGGAAGCTTGATAAATCAGGTAAATCAGCCATTAATAGACACATAGAAATAAACACATTTGCATATCATTCAAAAGAGATAATAAAAAAAGCTAAGAAGGAAACAGAAAGACCAGAACACATCCTTTGAAGTAGCCAACACCCAAATAAGCAGGGATTAGCACCAGAAGAACCAGTAAGCAGAGAACAATACCCCAATCAAGGAACTACCTAGGAGAAAATCATACCCTCATCAACACTGGGAAGATAAGCTACTATACATAAATAGGGAACAAATCTCACACTCTAACACTGATGATGCTGCCTCATTGGGTAATGAAATATCTGCCAGAAAACAATCAAGCTCAGAGAGCACAAGGATTCCACAGTTCAATCCTGAGCTACATATATTCTCTTCTATGGTTAAATTACTGTAAAAACTCAATTTTTCAGAATGTGTAATACAATGAAAATACAATGACGACTGCATACAAAAGACATATGATAAACGCTTTTGTACTGAACAGATTTCCACTGCATAAAGTAATAAATGGCTGAGCTATCTGGAGAAAAAAAATCACCCTGTGTATCTTTCTTAAAACTGGTTATTCTTTTGTAATACATAAATCTACCTAGGCAGGACATTCTACCATCTGTTTGCTTGTTGTTGGTGTTTGCAGATCTAGAAGCCAGAGAGGTTAGGGTAAAAAATTACAGCTGCTAAGCAGAACGCTAGAATTTATAGCATAGTTTCAATGCTCAAAAGTAATTTTATTTCAGCCAGGTAGACAAAATAGGTAACTACATAACCCAAACACAGTAATACCTAGGGTAGCTTTGGTGAGGAGTAAGCAGATGATTATCATTTGGTCAACAAGACTTTTCCTTTTTCAACTGGAGTAAAAGTGTGCTGCTTGTGCCTAATACTAAAAGAAACAATTTTATTTTATATTAAAAAAACCCTTCCTGTATGATTAAAAGTTTTCATTCCTCTCCTTATCCTTGTTGAAAACACAACATAAAACCATTATAAATAAGACCAGTGGGAGTACCTCTGTTAAATAGTTGCATACAGGGTAAAACAAAGAAGAAGCAGGCATTATGAGGCCATAGGCCAATAATGGGAATTTTCAGCTCCCAGAAAAATACCGCAGAAAACCAAAAATATGCAAACAAAAACTTTAAAAGGTTATGGGAAGAGAAAAAAAGGAGGGTGAAGTACAAATGTCCCTTGTCTGCCTATTTGTTGGGAAAGTATTCCATACAAATGACTAAATAGTCTTTTTTTTAACTTATAACTCAACACAACATAGTTGCTGGAAAACCCCATTATGACACTGTCATTGGAGGGAAAAAGATGAAATGGACAATGTAAGCCTGAATATTACAGCAATGAAAATGAGCAACTGAATAATCTTGCAGGGAACAATATGCCTTGTAATGATATTCCTGCAAACAAAAATAAATGAAAAGCAACATTTTAATTTTACTGGAAAAAGTCAATTTTCTTTCTATTTTAATAGACAAATATACTACCTGGGTTTTTCAGAAAGTTATACTTGAGGTAGGTAAGAGACATATTATGAGACACACTCAGTTATTTTGGCTAAAAATATTGTTTAACCATAGGAATCCTAGTTTCAAGATCCCTGCTACATTTTAAGCAAAAGTCTTCTTCTAGACCTGCCACCTGTCAAATGGGCAAAATCCATGTTTTCAATAAACAAAGAAGAAAAAGTAGAGATATGGCGGAGATATATCTAGGAGTTGGCAAAGTGATTGGGAATTTTCAAATTCTTACAGCAGGATTTTGAGACATGGATATGCAATTGTACTACTATCAAAAACACTTTAAAGGTTTCTACCTTTGAAAAAGCAGTTTGCTACTCATTGAAATTTTACCAGTCATTACCTGTGGAACTGTTCACCATGTTAGGTGCCATGCTGTAAGGAGAAGCTTGAGGGTTCATCAGACTTGAGTTGCTGTTCATTGGTTGGGTGTATGGAGAGCTGGATCCCATAATGCCACTCTGATTGATGACAGGAAAACTGCCTTGCCTGAAGGAAGAGAAATGACACACCATGCACAAGCTCTTATTAAATTTCTTACTGCACAGTACTCAGTTAGTTACAAAATTCATACTTCAGTATTCATAGACACCTACAGAAGATGCAGCCAGTTAGTTTTTGCCTCTGTCAGGAGCTCACTATTGGATTAGTAACGAACTTATTCTAAAGCCCATTCTAAAATCATATATCATGCAGATCCCTAAGTAAAATAGATGTGATATATGTTAATTTAAAATGGATAAATCCTAATACTATGTAAAGAAATTGAGATTGGACCTAGCCCACACATAGTGATGAAAGCACATCAGAGAGCTCACTACTGAAGTAAAAAAAGATCTCCGGATAAGTTAGCTAAGAGCTTTTGATTGCATTTTGCCCACCATACTAAAAAAAAAGAAGCTAAAATAAAATAAAGAAGTAAAAATAAAATAAAGCAACTCTCCCAAAGCAAAACAAAGATACATACCAGTACATGGATTGAAACTGTACTACTTAGATATGCAATATGGACATTCATCTTGTTTGAAAGAGTTTATGATAATTGTAACTATTGTAATCACTGAACACTATAGCTATATTAAAGGATTGCTGATATCTCTGTGGTAAGGTAGTTTATAATGAATCAGAAGAGCTTTCGAGCAAAATAAAAATAATACTGTTTTTTTTTTTTTTAGTGAGTGTAATACATCTTAATAGAGCTACCTTTTATGGGTGAGTAAATACAAGGATATACTCCCATGTGTGTTAATGAATGAAATCTCAAATATAAAGGATTATGCAGTATATTTGCTGGACAGAAATATTCACCAGACACAGCAACAATCGCAGAAATATCAGTTCTCTGGTTCTTCACATGAATATAATTATCCAGTTTATATGAGTCCTTTTCAAGTTATTATTATCTACAAGAAAGCTTAAATTCACCATCTAAAAAAATATAAATGCTTAAGACAAATGCCATTTTTTCCCACTGCGGTTGAAAATACAGACTGAAGAACGCGACAGTATGGTTTGCCTGCTTATAGTTTAGAGGGATTTTAAAAACAAATCATTGGAGTTAATAAGTGTAAGTTATGACTTAGCCAACTGGGGTTTATTAAAAAAAATCGTGGAATAATGCAAAGTGTGAATTTGTATGTTTTCTATATGTTTCTATATTCTGTACATTTTCTAAATCAAGGAAAGTTTCTCTTAGGTGAATTTGATGTGTTAGACAGTTCATTAACTAGTAACCTAGTATTATTGATGGGTGCTGTGTTTAACCTTCAAATGCTTTTATGAAATTCAGAAGCTTTCTTTGGATTTTTGTTGCAACTGAAGGATCAAAGAAAATAAGGATCAAGGAAGCTGAAGGAATATGGAAAATAATATTTTTATTTATTAACTAATATTTTATTAGTTTAATCACTTTAACATAAAGTATGAAAAAGTAACTAGTCAATACTAGATTTTAAAATCATTTTACTGAAACAAGTATAGAACATTTGATATAATTAATGTTTTTTTCCAAGTTGGCTTTGTCCTCTATTTCTGTAAAGAAGAAAAATATTTCTTTTGATGTGAAGGAGACAACTGACATACAATGTTATTCCCCTGATGCAAGTTTTGATGTTATAGAGAAAAATACTTAAAATGCACAGCCATACATTTCTGTTCCCCTCCTCCCCAAAAAGAAAAAAAAAAGGAGCAGGAGCTTTTGCAAAAACTTTGGAAGATTTCTCTGAAATAAAATATTCTTTCTGTACATATTGTCAGTAACTTTTAAAAGTACTCTGAAAATATTACCTAGGACATTAAATGCCACCATCTCTACTTTTCCTTGCAATAATCTTTATGTATTAGAAATAGAAAATATGGAAAATGGGAAACAGAAGGCATATATACATACAGACATAAATACACACACACACACACACGTGTGTGTGTGTGTGTGTGTGTGTGTATTCTGAACTAGCACCATCTCATTAACATTTACTGCCTGTTTCTCCTTTACATTCAGATGACTGTTACCATGGCTGGGCCAGAGTAAGCCACTGATCTATCAATTACCCAAAATAAGACACTAGTTTACAACAGGACTGTTACAACTGAATGTTTCCTTTGTGCTTGGTGCTACTTAGAACAATGCTTTTGTAAATAATCTTTCTGAAATCACAGTGCTTTGCATGACTAATATGAATGTAGGTTTCTAAAAGAAATTAGATTGCATCTTTTAGAGGAGACATATATTAATGGAATTAAATTAACTGTATTTGAGTTTCTCTATGGCTTTCCATGCAGACAAATAAGTTGACACATTTGTATTTTAATTAATTAATTTGTTAATTGATACATAACTGAACATGGGACACTTTGGTAGATACAAAAACAATCCAAGTAACAAACAAAATAAGTTGTCAATTTTAATGCATCCAAATTTAGTCTTAATCAATAGGCTAACCATAAGTATATTTGATTATTACTTACTATCCTGAAACAAACAATTGTTTATTTACTGATACAATCAAATCAAGGAAATAATGTTCTTGCACATCTATAAAGCAACATAAATCTCAGTTTTAAATTTCTTAAACAGAGTTACAATGGCAAATCTTTATACAGAATTAGTGGGAGAAAATACTAATATGTGCTTATAGAGACCCGTCTTCAAATCCAGATTTGGAAAGCAGCAGCTACTCATACAAATTAAGATGCTAACAATTAGAAAAATGATTTTTGGGGGGAGGATGGGTGCCAATGGCAATTGTTCCTGCTTTTCAGGGAAATTTGCTCACTGGAGCTCACTGGATAAATTGAACTTAGTCATTATTTCCCAGTGTTACCTATTCCACATGTTTACTGTGGGAGAAAGAAAAAAGAAGACAGCATTATGCAATCTGCCCTGGATTTTAAGGGGAGGGTGTAAGGGTATGTGTGTGTGCGCGCGCACGCACGCAAGTGTCAGGATATAAATCTAACAGATTTTATTTTCATTATGATCCTCATAATGATGTCCTGGTATTCATAAAGGTAGAGGCAAAGGAGGAAAAGAAGCCTGAACCATTATTACAAAGAAAAGGAAAGGCCATGAATCTAATATGGGATTGCAATGCCACAATAAATATTTTATACCACTAGTAAGTGAATGGAGTAATCTTAACATATCTAGTTAAAAATGACACTGTATTTCCATATGACAAAAGAAAAGATGCAAAGAAAATACGTTAATGGTCTACAAGTATCTAAGTTTTCATGTGTAAGATACATCAAACATCTATCTGTTGAAACCAAGAGCATGAATAGATTAATACATAAAAAGCTGAGAAATAGGGGGAAATCTTGATTTAAAAATTACTGGACAATCTGACTATAACAATGGCTGATTCACTATGATTGAAAGATTCCAAGGTTTGTCTTTATCACTATTAAACAGTAGTGGTTTGTACTGTTTTAATTAACTAATTGACTAGATGACCCATGCACCTCTTCCAACTAATTTCTTTATTCAATGATTTCCAATAATTCAGATGTATTAAATATAATTTATTCAGTTTCTGTACACCTCATATATAAAATTATGCCTATCTTTATCATATAGTCAATGTATCTTTACATATAAAAAGGGTTTTTTTAACCTATGTGGACATTTCATGGGGGATAAAGCTTTAGAAGACAGCTTTCAGAACTAATAATTCAGAGAAATTTTATCTTTTCATTCCGATTCCATGGCATTTGGTCTTTAAGTAGAATGATAACTGAATGTGACAAATAGTCCTATATTCATTTTGCATTGTCAAGTAGAGTCCATTAAGAACTAAACTGAAATTGTAAGATTTATTCTGATTAACCTTTGAGCACTAAACACTAATAGCTTGTACAGCATTTGTTAAATATACTTATGCATCTTTAAAGTCATAGAATCATTTGTGGTTACTAAAGAAAGAAATGAAGGACGAAAGAAAGAATATATGTTTCTGTCAGTACTATTTTCACTGAAGAGCTATTTGACCTGCTCTAACACATTTTCAGCTTTCCCCCTGCAACTTAAACTCCATTAAGGTGTGAGGCAAAGTTAATATTAGTTGTTGAAGTGTTTAAAACCAATTTTCAAAACTGTTGTGGCATTTATGGATGAAAAATGTCAACAGTGGAACAAATTCAATGTACCACAGGCAATATTGGGAAAGGTGTAAAATTTAAGGTAGTTATAGTATTTTTAGCAGCTAAATCAAAAGTTTAACTTTAGCTCAGATAGTGCCAAAGCTCGCTCTGTAAACGAATTGTGGACTTCTTTCTACTTCAAATGCTGAGGGCATTTGAAATAATTGTGTCTGGGACCGCTTTGGAACTATGCCTGAATTGTGCTGTAATTAATGTTTATTTAAACCAACTGTTGTAAACTGAAAATATGTTCTAAACTCGACAATAAGATATCACTGTCACATTATTATATGAAATCTCTTACTATAACATAACTTTTCAAGATTAGTAAAATTAAAGAAGAAAAAAGCTGCTTTAATAGTATGCTCGGAATATTTTTATATGTAATAATTCATATTTATTTCTATTTAATTTCCTCTCTCATATTTTAATAAATGGATTTCATTCTTGCAAAACAAAAAATCATGTTGATGTGCAGAAACGCTATCTAGGTGCTGAAAAGCCCTCTGAAGACATCCAGTAGTAGAGGCAACCCAAAAAGGGGAAGAGTTTGTCCCAGTCAAACCTGCTGAAGTGATGAAATTAGATTGTAATATGCTTATGCTTGTACATGGAGCCTTCTCTTACATGGTCTTTTTAATGAACATTTTCTCAAACATAAACAATTTTTTAAAAAAAGTATATGTATTTACTCGTAATACTGTATGTAATGAGTCTATGAATTCTGAGATGGTTGCTAATTTATGTATTAAAACAAACAAAAATGAACAGAGATTTAGCTATTTTTCAGAAGTAACTTTATGAAACCAGGTGCAGACAAATCTAAGGAAATCTCAGAAGATCAAAAT